GTGACCCTCCTCCTGGAGTACCTTCTATTCTGCCTCCTTGGAGGCAGGTGGCCTGGAGGCTGGGAGGCTGGGCTACCTAGAACTGTACCCCTCTTGAGGAGGAGTTATTTGATGCATTAGCCGTCTTGAGATTCACTGTCACCTCATCTGCAGGTAGAGATGACAGCAGCAGTCCCCACGGAGGCTGTGGGGATTATATGAGAGCTCACCCAGTACTGTGCCTATGCTGGGCAGTGACCCAGCTTCACCTGGTGGTGCATGTTGGACATGTGGGCCCCAAAAGTGACCACGTGGAGAGGAGTGATCTGGCCAAGAGATTCTTTATTGCCGGTGGGAGAGGGAGAGAGCCGAGGGAGAGCCAAGAGAGAGGGAGAGAGGGGCAGGGGCTTAAATACCCCTCAGTGGGACTCAGCATGATCTGATGGGTTAGGATCTTATGGTTTGTGCTGATTGGAGGTTGGGGCAGAAGGAGGGTTCAAGCTAGACTTGAGGCTGGACCGCGACCCTGGGAAACAGACTTAAGGGTGCGGTAAAAACCGAAACCCATCGGCGCCATTATTGCCAACAGTGCTTACAAAGCTCTTCTTAGCCTGAGCTAATAGGCCTTTGTCCTCGGCTCCTGAGGCCCATATGGACCAGGACACCACGTCTGAGACTTTGCTGTCCTCTACCTGCCATGTCAGTCCACCCCCGTGAGAGCTGGCTGCTGCTTCTCTATACCACTTCCTGCTGCCTGTCCAGTGCTGGTTTGGGGAAACAACTGGCAGAGCAGCATCGCACTTCAGTCCGCTGGCCCATTTCCTGGAGCCTCTCTGAAAATAGAGCTAATACCGGTTCTCTCTGCAAGGCTACAGACATGTAGCCTTCTCTCAGCAAGGGCATACACACGTGTCCGTCATGCTGAGGCCCTGCACACCGTCCTGCTTGGCTCGCCCCACCTTAGAGAGGAGACCTGGTCTTGGGGCAGTCTTTTTGAGGCTTGCATGAGACCACAGCTTGTCCTCGTGGATTTTCTTCCACCTAGGGCCTGGGCCAGGTGGGCCAACACATCCCAAGAAGTACATCTTTAAGTGGAGTCTCATGTCTGCGGTGTGGGCCCCATCTTCCTGTGGGTGATGGGAGCAGGTGGTGACTGGCCATGTGTGGAATGAACTAGGGTGGTGTAGGGTCCTGTTGCTCCCTTGAGGTGTTTGTGACTTTTACTGCTGGCTCTTTCTGACCCAGCTCTGCCCATCCCAGTGGCTCCAGTTTTCCCAGCATGGGATGGGACTGGCTGGGGTCTTCAGCCTTTGACATGGGGACTGAGGGTCTGTGAAGGGTTAAGCATGCCCTGACACCAAGGGTCCCTTCCTGCCTCCGCCCCCCTATTGTTGCTGGCTCAGGAAAGGCCTGTTTCCTGTGAGGTCACAGCCCTAGTCAGGGGAGGAGGGAGCCATGCCTGTTGGCCCGGCAGGCTTTGTCCCTTCCTTGGAACATCTTTGCCCCCACTTCTCCAGCAGGCAAGGTAGCCAGCCTACAAGGGCAAAAGCAAGACTGCCTCCTCCAGGCAGCCTGTGCTGGTATCTCCCCTCTGGCCTTCTTGGCATATGGGCACGGTTGAGGACACATCAATGCAGACAGACCAACAAGCCGCCAACCCCAGAGAGCACTGAGCAGCTCTGGTGTAGAGCCAGCCACTCATCAGCTCTCTCCGCTTTCAGAGGCTGTTCCCTCATCAAAGCACAGTTTCAGGAGTCAGCCATTCTGCCTTCCCTCCGGTCCCATCTGAGGTCACCAGTCCTGGCTGCTGCTTTTCTGTACACAGACCCTCAGGCTTGGTAACAGGACTAAAACCCCCAAAGCCCCTTCTCTCACCATGCCCTCTGGGGCTGGAGTCATAGGGCCTGACCTTCTCTGCTCACATCTACCCTGGCCAATGTCTGGAGTTGACCAGGCGCCACCCGCCTGCCTGGTGCCAGCCTCCTGGCAGGACTGACAGCAAAAGATGGAGTCAGGAAGACCAGCCAGGCCCAGTCTGTCTCACAGCTTATCCCCAGTGAACTGCCTTGCTCTGGGGCGCCCAGCGTCTGCATTAAAGAGATGAAGCTTTGAATGGGACCCTTTGCCCCCCCCCAAATCTCAGTTAACTCATCTGTGTTGGGGAAGAGTGCAAATCCCCTGGATGTGAGTGTCCTGTGTAACTCTGCTTGCCTGGTGGGGCCAACCCTGGGCTGAATGGAAGGAAGGAGCTGACCTAATAGAGGAGCTCTGGGAGTCTGTGCCTCTCCCAGGCCCGCCTGTGGGCCAAGGCGCATGGCAGATCCAGGCCTTGGGTAGGAAGGGGGCCTCCAGGGTGGGGCAGCACCTTTGCTGGTCTACAGTGCCCCCCTCCCCCACCATCTCCGATTTCCTGATTTGACAGATGGAACCACTTGGAGTTTCTTTCCTTCTGTTCAGCCTGGAGTTGGGAGCGGGTGGGGAAGGTGGGGGCCCCAGGCCTCCAGTTCTCAGCATCCCCCCCCCATGTTGCATTCTGCTGTTGACAGCCGCCCAGGCTTGGCCCAGCTATGCCTCTCAGAACCTCAAATCTGTCTTCTGCAATCCTTTACAGAGTTCAGGTGTTATTTATTTTGATAAAATCCACAAAAGTTGCCGTTTTAACCCATTTTTGAGCATTCAGCTCTGTGGCATTAAAAGCACACTCACATTAGTGTGTGGCCGTCACCACCATCCACCTCCAGAACTTTTTTATCTACCCGACTGAAACTCGGTACCTCTGTCGCCCCCCCCCCCCCCCCCGCTCATCCCCCTGCCTGCCCTCAGGGGCTGCTTTCTATGTGGGCTGGGCAGGCTATAGGGACACACACCGTCCCCACCCCAGGACCTACGCGTCTGCCTCCAGGATCCTCCCTGGCTCTTACACCATCCTGACTACCCTACTTGGACTTGCTCAGTGTTGGACATTTCTGGCAGATCAGACCATGGGCTCCTCCGAGGAAGGAGCTGTAGCATCGGTTCTGAGGAGAACGTCACTGGGACCTATGAATGGGCAGATGGGTGGACAGGTGGATGAGTGGACAGATGGAGGGATGGGTACACGAGTGGATGGATGGACGGATAGATAGATGAATCAGTGGATGGGTGGAGGGACGGGTGGATGTCACTTGGCTGGAGAAGCACTCACCAGGCTATTTCGAGACGGGAGAGTACGGCCACTGTGGGGCTGGGGCTGGGCTGGCACTGCTGGAGAGAGGCAGAAGCTGCCGGCTAAAAAGTGCAGCTCTGGAAAATAAATGGGAACTTTGGAAGAGTTTGCTGTAAATGCACTTCTCTCTTGCCTCTTGGGCCAGATCAGATTGATTTTTCTTTATGAAAATGTATAATTGTTGAAAACTTTAGATTTAAAAGGGAGCTGTGTGATCGCTTTAGCCAGCGTACGTAGTGGAAAAAGAAGGGCATTCTGACTCCAGGGCAGCCCAGGGAGCCGGAGTGAAGCTACTGTGCCTGAGGGAAGGCTTCATACCTGGGCCAGGACCCTTGGCCTGCCCAAAGCAGCAGGTCACCTGGGAGGCCCCGGAGTGGTCACTGTGTTGAAAAAGCTAGAGGCCCCTGAGGAGGGGTGCTCCTCCAGGATGAACCCTGTGTTTAGGCAGCTTGGGATGGGGTACAAGTCTGACCCAGACGTGCTCACAGATCAACAGTTCTGCAAAGAGGCTTCTACCCAACGTGGGTGCTGTTGCTCTGTCCCCTCTGCTCTCAGAAGAGGTAACCTGGCCAGGCTTGTTTTGGAAACCGCACCTCTCCCTTGAGTGGGGACCAACTCCTGTCTCTGAGTTCAGGTCAGCCTGCTTCAGTCCTGTCCACTTGGAGCAGCTGCTACCCACGTGACTGTAGAGCCATTGCTGGACTACGGGTCCTCTACTTGGGGACCTGCAGGGGCAGAGAGTGGATGTGCGGGACAGCCCCCAGAGAAGACTGCCCCTCAGTGGGACAGTGAAGGGTCAGTACTGCCTCGGCTAGGTGCAGAAGGTTGGCTTTGGAGTTGGTGTCCAAGGGGAGGCGGGGAACGGGGCTCACAATGTGCCTTGGCACTGACTCGTGCTCTGCTTCTTCCTGACCTGGTGTGGGCCAGATGGGGTCAATGTGATCAGCTCCTAGGGGTGGTGATTGTCCGAGCTGTGGAGGGTATGAAGGTGGCTCCAGCCACACAGGGGTGCGGCTGTGCAGTGTGATGCTGCTGCCCCTCAGGCAGCATGTGGAAGGTCTGGTCCAGTCCCTCTCTGCACCCCAGGAAAGGCTGAGTGGCCCCAGCACCCCTGGTGCTGACACGTGTGTAAGGTCCCAGGATCTCATCTCCAGCAAACCTCACACTCCTGGGAGGAAAGGAGCTCAGTTGGCCAGTGGCAGGCAGGACCGCTCTGGGTCCCCTGGCCACCCTGGTGGACTATGTCAGGACAGTGTGGGCACTGTGTGGGCATCAGGAGCTCTCTGAGGGAGACTGTCTCACCATACATTGACACAGGCACCAGTGTGGGGACCTTCAGATGCAGTGGTGAGAAGCCAGGCTCCACGCTGCTGATTCTGGTCATTGTGACCTGGAAGAGGCAGGACCACAGTGCAGAGAACAGATGGGCAGGACAGGTGGGGCACTGGGGCACCACACCGTGTCCTGATGGCTCCCCATGGGTTAGTGTTTCTGTAACCAGACACCAAAAGCATCAGTCAGACTGCATGCTAATCAAGAAAATGAAACTTCACAAAGGAGGAAAGGCAACATCAGAAAACGGGTGACACCTCAGACCACTGTTAGGAGGGCAATGTGTGAGCTAGGATCAGGTGGTAGCCAGGCTGCATGCCTGCATGCATGAATCCACCTCAGTGGGGTCATGTTGAGGAGAATCACATGTGTCTGTGGATGCACACATGGGTGCACAGAGCTTCACAGGGATGGGGGAGTGGGTGTTGGGACAGCACTGGTCCCCAGGGTGCTGGCCATTGCTGACCACCTGTCTTCTCCACAGCCACCCTGCTGCGTGTCAACGCGCTCTCGCTGGTCTACCTGCTGGTCCTACTACTGCTGCCCTGGCTCCCGGGCCCCACACGGCACAGCATCCGAGGTAAGGTCCACAGAACCCACTCATGTCCTGGGCAGCAGCCCTGATAAAAGATGAAGGCTCTGAAGTCTCAGCCCTTCAATTTGGACCGCAGCTATGTCAGTCTGGTCTGGCTTGTTGCAGGGGGACCCATGCAGGTGATGGGATGGGCTATGGGTGGATCCCCCAATCTGTCACTGGACAGTCCTTGGGAAGCCACAGTGAGTGATTGGGCCCCAGAGTCTCATCTGAGCAAGGGGTTCAGGTCTCTGCACTGTGGTCCACCCATCTTCCTGCCAGGCTCCTGTCACTCTTTCCCCCATGACTATCCACACAGCATCCTCTGCCTGGGGGGCAGCCTCCGGCCAACTCACCAAGGCCACTGGTACACAGGGGCTCTCCCTGTACTCCCTTGGTGCCCTGCTGGCCTGGGTGTTCCTCAGATCACCTCATAGTGCAGGGACTTGATCCATGACTGAACTGGTCAGGGATGCATCTCACTGTTGTGTCCCCTAAACAAGTGCGTGGTGGTCAGGCAAGCCTTGGAGCTGTGTCCACAGAAGGGGCTGATGTTGATGCCATGCCATGGACTCAGGCCAGAAAGTTGGGAAGTGGGGAAACCACTGCTGCAGCTCAGCCCCATGTTGGGAACGGGCAGGGCTGCTGTGCCCTGGGGAGCAGCGCACAGCCCAGGCAGCTGGGCAGCAGCTGCAGAAGGACCAGACCCCCTGGGGACCCTTCATCTCCGGACTGTGGGTACCTGGTGTCCATTTTGTGCCTTTTGGTGACAGCAAGTACCCAGAGATCCCACCTTGGGCAGAGGGGGCTATGAACAGCAGCCAAGCATCTGAGGGTCAGCAAGGGCCTGAGTTGGGTGTGACTGCCCAGGACTCATTGAGGACGCTCATGTCCCCAGGCCCTGTCCTTCTGGGAGGTGGAGGACATGGCTGATAGGCCTTGGGGGCATCAGGTGAATAGGTTTCCTGTGGCTGCTGAACTGAGTCAGTCGCCTGGGAATGAAAGCCACACACTGACTCTCTGCTCAGGAAGTTAGTCTCTGAGTGGGTCACAGGGCTGCAGTCAGGATGTGGACCGGGCTCTGTACTTCCAGGAGGCTCCAGGGGAAGTGGTCTTCTCATCTCTTCATAGAGGTGCCCACGCTCCTTGGCTCGTGTCCCTTTCTTCCTTCAAAGCCCTGATTGCTGGCGGAATCCTCACATCCCACCACCCCTGCCTTCCTCCTCCATTCCTAACATACTGTGGTTCGTTCTAAGCACCAGTGACCGTCCAGAGCAGCCTCCCCAGGTCAGCTCAGCTCCCAGCAGCCTCGACCCCATCTCTGCCTTGACCCCCTTTACCGTGTGAGATCCCATGTCCATGGGGGCCAGAGATTAGCACAGGAACATCTTTGGGGTCCAAAGGTGGGAGGTCTGCCAACCATAGGTTGGGGGTCACCACCCCCTGGGCTAACCAGTCCTCAGGCCCCCACCCCGCTTGAGGCATTTTGGGGCCAGCACTGGTCTTGGAGCCTGGGTGGGATTCAGGAGGCAGACGGCAGGGAAGGGCATTTTGGGACCCAGCAGAAGCAAAGTGCTTCTCCAGGATGCACAGCCGAGGTGCTGGGCTACCTCCTCTCTCGTGGTGGAACTGCTGAGCTGAGATCCTGCTCCCAGGCCTCGTCTCTCCACAGCCCATTCCCCTGTTCCCAGGCCCTCCCCGAAAGCCGCTTGTCCTGTAATTGTTTCACACCCCGTATGAGACTGGAAACGGCCTTGACCAGTGGCGGGAAGTACAGGCCTGCCTGGCCAGGTGGAGAGGGATTGAAGCGGGAGACTTGGGAGGCAGGGCGGGAAGTCTTCTCGCCTGACCCTCCATCTGTCTGTCTGTTCAGCCTCAGAGGCCCTTCAGGGACATGATGCTGCCTGGGTTTTCCGGGCGTGAGAGAGGAAAATGTGAGACCAGACCATACAGAGCGCCTGGTGCGGGTTTATGACTTGTGCAGCTGCCGGCCTTGGCAGTGGCTGCTGCTGGAAGGTCTGACACTGTCCGGCCCTGATCCCTACGCAGGCAGCAGCCTAACCCCCTGGACCAGGGGCTGAGTTGAGCTGTGCAGGGTGAGGGCAGGAACAGGGGCTGGCTTGAGCCTGGGTGTCCCAGGCAGGGCCTATGGGATCAGCTCACAGCCTGCCTGTGATTATAGCTTAGGGAAGCTGCATTCCTGCTGTAGAGCAAACCTGCTTCCCAGGCTCCCCCTGCTCTCTGGAGGCAGAGACCCCTCATCCCTGCCCCAGCCCCCTGCAGGAGACTCACGGGGCCTGACCAGATTTGTTGCCCTTCTCTGTTTGGAAGGCACCATCCCCCCAGCTCAGAGACCCCCTGCAGGCTGCACTTGTCTGTTCCCCTGTGGCTGTTAGTAGTTTGGGTGCTATGGGAGGGTGGCTGCCTGGAAGGTGGCTGAGAGTAGTGGGACAATCCTCAGTCATTCTCCATTGGACGGCTGGCAGCCCTGTCACTCCTGGGACAGAGGTCTACACCATGGGACTGTGCCTTAGGGATACCTGGTCACAGTGGCCTTTTGGTTTGTGCTATCCAGGGTTTGGCTCTGAGTGGGTGGGAGAGCCCTTCTTCTCCACTTCTTCCCCTGCTACTGGGGGTCCCTTGGCTCAGACTGATCTGACCCCTGCTGTCCCCCTCCATGCCCCTTCAGTGTGTGGGTGCCCCTCTCTGTATGTGGCTCCCAGGGCTCCCTGGCTGGTCACATGCACATCCTCAGTCAGACGGGTTCCGACCCACAGGCAGCCCAGCCCCAGTCCAGCGTGGTCAGGGGAGTGACGATGTCTGGGAACAGCTCATGGGATGCTGGAGGGTGCTGGAGCCCTGCAAGGGGGGTGCGTCTGCTGGGGGGTGGGGGAGGGGGAAGTGGAAGTGGAAGTACCCTAAAATGCCACAGGGAAGAGGCTGGGAGAGGCCCCTGAGCCTGTCCCTGCTGAGCAGCAGTCAGGGGCTCCAGTGTCCTGGGTCAGGCATGCCAAGGGAGGTGCCCGCCCTGCTGCTGAAAGGGCCCTGCTCCCAGCCCACTTCCTGTTTCCCCTAGGGAACCCCCCCCCACCAAGACCCACTCCTTTTTCCAGCTGGACACCCCTATGTCCAGCTGAGTCCCTGCCCTGCTGTGGAGGCAGTGGGGGTTACACCTGTCCTAGTGGGCGGAGGGATGGGAGGAAGGCAGTGATTTGGGAACAAAGGCTACTGGGTGGCCTTCTGCCATAGTCCAGCCTGCATGTGCTCCTATCCCCAAGACAGAGGAGTGGCTCAGATGGCCTAGCCAGGAGGGAGTATGTGTGTGTGTGGGCGGGGGGCGGGCGGGTAACACCTGAGCAGTGGAAATGCTCATTTAGTGCTCTGAGCCTCAGTCTGCCCATTTGTAAGATGTGGGAGGGGGGACTAGCAACCACCTCATGGGTGTCTGGTGAGGGTCAGGAGGCTGATCCTTAAGTGCAGGCATGGGGGCTGAGCAGGACTCCCATCCAGCTTGTTGTCAGAAGGAGAGAACCTTAGCTGAGAAACACGTTCTTCCCCCATCCCACTCTCTCCTTGTTGGAGTCATTCTGTAGGGCCTGCCACCACTGAGCTACCTCCTACCCGCCTGATGGCTCCCACTGCACTGGGGCCCATACAGCAGCAAGAGGGGCTGTGGTGCCCCCACCCCACTCCCAGCCCCCACTGTGACCCACTGGCTCTGCCAGTTACAGCTCAGACACCCCACTGCCCTCCTTCTACTACAGGACCTTTGCACAACGCTATTCCCTACCCTCCACTGCTGAATGTCCACCTCATCTGGCTGGTGCCACCTCCCCTGGGAGGAGATGCCATCTCTGACCCCCAGCCAGGTCTGTCCCAACCTTGCCCTAAGTTCTCACAGTGTGACAGTCACCTCAGTGGGACCAGGTTCCATTGGGTGGAGACTTGTGTTTCTGCAGTAAACGCTGATCCGTTTGCAGCTGGGCGAGTGGCAGTTGAGTCCTAGGAGAAAGGGCTGATAGTGCTGTCCCAGCAGTCACAGCCAGGGGCCTTGAAGACCCCAGCCAGCCTCTGCTTCTGGCTCACAAATCTGCTAACAGTACCTGCTCTTCCTGGCACTGGTGGTAAGGACGGCTAACTTGGAGTCTGCAGGGTCCTCATTTCCAGCTCCTCTGGTGGGTACCAGCTGCACCCTGCACCCCGCTTAGAGGCTGCTGGTGCCCCATGCCTGCCCAACCTTCCAGGCCCTGGTGTCGGAGCTGCAGACCATCTCCCCGTATGTCATGTGACACCCTGTCCCATGCAGGGGATTGGGGGACACTCAGGGCACAGGTGGGTTGCAGAGCCTGCTCTCCAGAGCCTGAGAGAGGCTCACTTGGGCAGTGATAGGGAGACACCTGGCTGGGCATGCAGTGTGGCTGGGTGTGGCTTCCTGGGGTGGGGCCTATCAGGAGAGATCAAAGGTGTGGGTTTCCACAGTTCAGCCCTGAACTCAGGCTAATTCTGAGTTTGTGCATCAAATTGACCATGCCTGAGAGATAGACACAAAGCAGATGCTGGCTCTGAGAGTGCCAGCACCTGGGGAGAGAGGAGCGCCAGACTTCCTGGCTGTTCTAGTGAGAGAGCCATGCTGCTCTGCTGTCCTGTCCTCTGGCCATGGTGGCCTTGTTGGCTGGGTGGTCTGGGCTCATACAGTGGGCAGCTGCAATCAGGGTGAGGACCTGGAGGCTCGTCTCGGCCCTGTCCAGGTGTGAGCTGGCCACCACTGTCAGGGAGCAGAGGTGAGGCCAGGGCCCCAAGCCCTCCCTAACCATGGCCTTAAGCTGCCTGTCCCGTCTCTGCATCCAAAGGCCTCCCTGTGGGTGGACTGAGTCCAGAGGAGCCGGGGTGGCCGGGAGCAGAGCCTCAGGGTGCCCTGGCTGTGAACACATCCCTGCCGGGCACAGCCACACCCACACCCGCCGCCTGTGCTCAGCACCCCGTGGCTCTGTGGCCTCAGCTTCTCCCCCATGAGGTGATGAGTGAGTGAAACCGGATCTGTGAGGCTCTGGGTACAGCGGGGCCTGGGACTGGGTTTTGGTCATGAGTCCACATGCTTCCTGGTACAGGGAACATCTCCGCCCTCCAGTGCCTCTATCAGGAGCCACTGGCTGTCCACTTGTCTTAAGGCAGACCCACTGCCAGGCCCCCTTCCTGGGTGTCCCCTGCTCTGTACCTTAACTTCCATCTGTACACAGGGCAGATGCACTGTCACTGCAGGTGGAGCTTCTGGTTCATTATTTCTCCTCCCTTCTCCCAACCACTCCCCCTCCATTTTTTGGTGGTGCAGGTGTTTGAACTTGGGGCTTCGCACTTGTACTCTTCCACTTCAGCCACACCCCCAGCCCTTTAGGCTTCACTTTATTTTTCAGATAGGGTCTTGTGTTTTTGCCCAGGCTGACTTGGATTTCACAATCCTCCTATGTATGCCTCCCACATAGCTGGGATTATAGGTATGAGCCACTGCACTCCACCTCGTCTTTTTTATTTGGGATTGAGGTTTGAACTCAGGGCTTCATGCTTGCAAAGCAGGTGCTCTAGTTCTTGGAGCCACACCACTAGTCCATTTTGTGCTGGCCAGTTTGGAGATGGAGTTTCTGAACTATTTGCCTGGTCTCACCTTGAACCATGATCTTGTTGATCTCAGCCTCCTATGTAGGATTACAGGAGTGAGCCACTGGTGCAGCTCCTTTTTAAAATTTTTTATTTTGAGACAGGGTCTCAATAAGATGCCTGAGTTGTTTTTAAACTTCAACCCTCCTGCCTCAGCCTCCCGGGTGCTGAGATCACAGGGGTTTGTTTCTTCTTCACTTCTGCAGGACCCAACAGTGACATAGATATTTGCTGGATAAATGAAAAAGTTCAGTTGTGTCTCTCTCCCAAGCCCACAGGCCTTTGCCTATTTGTGCCGGGCCCTGTCACCTCTGTGACGTCCCAGGAAGGAGGGAGGCCCAGGCAGCAGCAGGCAGGCGTGAGCTGTGGTGGGTAGGCTCTGCCGATCTCTCACTGAGTGCTCCGGGGCCACTCATTTCCCCACTCTTGTGCCTGTGTCCTCATCTATAAGTTAGGGTCATGTCGGAGCCCACCTCACAGGGCTGCTAGGAACAATGGTGGTCCGGAGAGTTTAAGACAGTCCTGGGATGGAGCCAGTACCATAAGGGTCACTCTTGTCATTGTATCAGTCATTTCCTGGAAGATGCTGGCCATGGTTTAGATGCTTTGGGGCTGGCCCTCCTGCCTGGACCCTGTGTTGGTGCTGGGTATGTGTCTCAGGCCACATGGATGGACCATGGCCAGGCTGGGGACTGTTAGCTCAGACAAACTGCCACTGGCTGGTCTTCTCCCACTCCCCAATCTCACCTCTGCCCACCCTGCCATAGGTCACACAGGCCGCCTCCTCCGTGCCTTGCTCTGCCTCAGCCTTCTCTTCCTGGTGGCCCACCTGGTCTTCCAGATATGCCTTCATACCATGCCCCACCTGGACCAGCTACTGGGGCCAAGCTGTGAGTTGCCAAGGGGCAGGGCAGGGAAGGGGCACCTGGGGACAGCAGTCCTGGGGTGGAGAAGAGAAGCCAGCATGGCCCCTCAGGACCTCGGGTCTTCTTAGGGAGGTCACCCCGCTTATCAGGCCACCAGCTTCACCCAGGCTTTGCCTAATATGGGCTGCCCCTGAGTGCCCGGCCACAATTTATGTCTGACCCAGATGACCTAGGTGATAATGTGGTCAGTGGAGCTGGGCCAGGCACAGCCAGGCCTTGGATGTCCAAGCTTTGGAGCAGCCCTGATCTTCCCAGTGTCCTGGCCTGCTGGGCTTAGCCAGAGGCCTGAGTGGCGCCAGAGGTTCTGGTCTCACCTATCCTTAGCACTCCATGTCCTTTCACCTGTGGACAGTGTCTCCAGCTGCCACCTGTCCCCAGCTAGACAGGGGCTAATGGCAGCACCAGGCTTCACGAGGGAAGCTCTGGGGTCCGAGCCTCTGCCACCTTGGCATCTTGCTCTGCCATGCAGGCCGGGGAGCACCACCCCATGTCCTTACCCTCATCCCTGTGATCACCGTCCTACTGTTTAGAAATGGAGGCCAGGAGAGAAGTCAAGAGCCTCACAGCACTGAGTAGTGGTGGCTCGGAGACCAGGCTCCTCACTCTGGCCGACTCCCAGCAACTCCCACACAGGCTGGGGCTGATGTGCTCAGACAGCCCAGCTTCTTGGACCACTTCTAGCCCCACCTGGCTGCACGTGCCCAGCTGGGCTAAGAGTCCCTGTCCTGCCACTCAGGGCCAATGGGCTGTCCAGGTGGTCTGTGTCTCTTCAGCTAGGACTCTGTTTCCCTGTCAGCATTTCCAGTCATCCCTGAGATCAGTCACGGCACTTTGTCTGACCAGGTTCTCCACCTCTCTCTGCAGGCAGCCCCTGGGAGACTGTCTCTCGACACATAGGGGTCACGAGGTAAGACCTCCTAGCAAGCTGTCTCAGGGTTCCCAGTTCCGAGGATGGGCCTGGAACTGTGCATGCATGACAGCGTCCAGCCCCTGGGCTCTTGGTGCTGTCCTCCCCCCCCAGGCCCTGCCTTGCTCTCCTGTGTTGACCATAGGCCCTCCCTGCTCTTTGCAGGCTGGATCTGAAGGACATTCCCAACACCATCCGGCTGGTGGCACCTGACCTGGGTGTCCTGGTGGTCTCCTCCATCTGCCTCGGCCTCTGTGGGCGCCTCACAAGGAAAGCCAGGAGGAGCCAGCGTGCCCAGGAGCTGGTGAGGGGCTACACGGCTGGTCATTCTCTAGCTACTGTGATGACGATTCCAGTTTTTTCTTAAACAAATGTAGACTTTTTCATTATGAGACTATTTCATATGCTGAGTATGAGGAGGAACATGGAAGAGAGAGCTCCTCCAGCCATGTGGTCCTGTCCCCTTGAGCTCCTTCTAGGACTCCAGCTCTGGTCAGAGTCACCTTCAGACCCCAAGATAGGTCTGTGCTCACAGAACTGTCTTATAGCAGGGATCAGTCAAGCGGACGATGCTGACAGACCCCTGAAAAGCCGTGGCCAAGCCAAGGCCCTGAATCTGGGCTGCATTTTCAGGCGAGGCAGAGCCCAGTTCCACTGCTAGGAGACTTAGAGGGCCCAGCCCTGGGACCTCTGCTGCTCCTGGGGTGGCCTGAGCTTTGGAGCCTCAGTGCTGAACACTCAGCAACCTCCGGGCCCTGCTCGAGGGCTGTGGTGCAGCCTTCTCACCCCATGCCAACCTTGGCCTCTGCCTACCAGGGTAGGCCCCCAGGGCTCGGCCAGAATTTATGACTGTCCAGGTGTCCTGGCATAAGAGCTCCCTGCCCACAGGCATCAATGTCCATTTGTCAACGGCTGACACTGGCTGGGCGCCTGGGCCTCAATTTCCAGAGTTGCCCAGAAAAGGGAAGGGACTCACTGAGGCTGCATAGCAGGTCAGGGCTGGGTGGCCTCAGAGCACCTGTCTCTCCACCAGCAGCTGCCCTGTTCTTCCCACGCCTGGAATCGTTCATTCGTCACAGCTCTCCTCCGGAGGTTTCCCAGGGCTGGGGCCAGGCTGTGGGCGGGTGAGCTTCCATCCCTGTCCCCCCAGGGGCACCTCCTGTCCCAAGGCAAGCAGAGTGTGGCTGGGGCTGCCTCTCTCACGTTCTGGAATGTAACAGGACGCTGGGTCCCATTGAAGCATGTTGAATTCCGGTCCTCCCTCTAGCTTCTGTAGGCTCAAAAAGGGGGTATGCTCAGGCCCTTAGCACTCCTGTCTCCTGGCCTGGCCTCCACGTCCCCTACCTCTAGGCTTAAGTCAGTGGCACCTCCCTGGGGTCTCCCCAACCCCACTGAGGCCTGAGAAGGCAGGCCCTGTCGGGCACATTTCTCCTGTCCAGCCTCCATCCTGCATTTTACCTGTGGAAATTAGGCTCAGAGAGGTGAAGTAACTTTCCTAAGGCTACCCAGTGTGGATACTGGTGCAGCTGGGAGGTGTCCAGGCCATCTGGCTCCAGAGCCTCTGCACTCAGCCTGGGCACTGAGTATGGCCACACTGCTCAAAAAGGGCACAGCTGGGGACACAGGCTGCCAGCAACTGGCCAGAGCTGGGGCGCCTGACGACAGTCTGTGTTCTTTTCCACCACGCCCTGGCTTCCCTGAGGTCTGGGAAACAGCTCTTTTCTGGGAACCCTCCCATCAGAGCCAGAAAAAACAGATCCTGTTGGGTCTCCATTTGCAGCCCCAGGCAGGGACTGTTCCTCTTCCTTCCATGTAGTTGGTCACCTCTGTCCTTCTGCAGTGCCAGGGAGGATAGCTGCACCCCTGCATGTGGCCATCTCCTCTGGAGGTGGCAGGGAAAGGGCCTGGCTGGAACAGCTGGCAGAGGTCCCAGGAGACCCCCATGCACTCAGTCCCCACAGGTTGCAAACAGGGTCCTTGCTGCCTGACTGTGATTTGCAGCAAGCACCTGTCACCTTTGGATCTGTTCCAACCCCAAGGAACTGAGTATAGCACATAGGAAGGCGCCATATAAGCTGTGAAGCAGTGCACGTTGTGTGTGTGCAATGTGCTGCTCTCCCTCCCGGGGGCTGCCCTGCCCTTTGGGGCCTCACAGCCTAGACAGGGAGATAAAGAGGCAATGGTCATGGTGTTCTGACACAGTCTGGAGTTGGCCTGCCCTGTCATTGTGTGCATGGACAGGACTGCACGGGGTGGGGTGGGGTGGGGTGGGGTGGGCTCACTAGGAACCTGAGTGGGGAAGGAGCTGACTGCTGGCTGAGGTGGATGCACGGCCAGTGCTCAGGGCACCACAGGCCTGTGGCTGCTGGAGGGTCAGCTGTAGAAGGCCAGGCCTCACCTCCACTCCCAGCTGGGCAGGTGGGGCTGGAGCAGTGGCCTCAGGGCCACATGCCTGACCTCACCTTCCCCTGACCTTGGCAGGATGATGACCAGAGGAATGTGGATGCTGACCCCCCACCAGGGCTGCAGAGAACCCCAGCCCCCAAGCGCAGGCTGTGGCTGGCCTCCCGGTTCCGGGTCACGGCCCACTGGTTGCTGGTGGCCGCCGGACGGACACTGGCCATTGTGCTACTGGCGCTGGCAGGTACCCCTGGGGCAGGTGGCAGGGGCCCTGGGCTGACAGTCACTGTGAGGGTTCTCTGAGCTCCCCGATGGCTGCATCTGCCAGGCATGACCGGCATACCTGCGCCCTGCCCTCCAGGCATTGCCCACCCCTCGGCCTTCTCCAGCGTCTACTTTCTGCTCTTCCTGGCCATCTGCACCTGGTGGGCCTGCCACTTTCCTATCAGCCCCCTGGGCTTCAGCACGCTCTGCGTCATGGTGAGCTGTTTTGGTGCTGGACATCTCATCTGTCTCTACTGCTACCAGACGTCCTTCATCCAGGCCACGCTCCCGCCCACCAGCATCTGGGCCAGGTGAGGGTTCCCACACAGGTTATTGGTTCTGCCGCGTGGCTGGGTCTTGGCCAGTGGTCAGTGACATGCTCTCTCTGGGTAGGGTGTTTGGTCTCAAGGACTTTGTGGGCCCCGTCAACTGCTCTAGCCCCAACGCACTGGTGCTGAACACTAGTCACGACTGGCCGGTCTACGTGAGCCCCGGCGTCCTGCTGCTTCTCTGCTACACAGTCACCTCTCTCCTGAAGCTCCGGAAGAGCCACCCCTCAGAGCAGGTGAGCACCTGCCATCCACCCAGCCTTGGGCTGCCAGGGTCCAAGCAGGTGTCCTGGTGCCTCCTGGCCTTGGCTGAGTGTGGGCTGAGCTTGGTGCTCTCGTCTGCAGAGGAAGGAAGCAGCCGGGGAGGATGAGGAGCACGAGCTGGAGTTGGACCAGCTGGAGCAGGAGCCCCAGGACCAGGCGAGTACTGCAGCCCAGGATGGGGAGGTCACCCAGCCGAGCAGGCGGCCAGGGGAACTTGGGAACTGCCTGCTGCAGCTGGGCTCACCTGCATCTCACCTGCATCTCACCTGCATCTCCTCCACAGTGCATCATGGCCACATCCATAGAACCTGAGAGCGACAACTGCATCGTGCATGATCTCACCAGCCAGAGCCCTACCCGGCAGCGTCCCCGTGAGTAGAGGCACCCCGTGGTGCGTGGGGCACCCACCGGCGTGTGTGTGTCCCTGGGTCCATCTCCAGCTGTGAGCAAGGCTAAGGATGCCCCCTGGTGGCTGCCAGGTCCTGTGTACACCCTGAAGCCTTCTTACCTGCTGTGTCCTCTGAAGCCACCAGGGCCCATCCTGTGGTCACATGGCTGACCCCTGGGACAGTTTTGGGGCCTCCAGTGTCCACTGACCTCTTGGCCTTGGGCGGGAAGCATCTGTGGATGGCCGTTGCTCTGGAGGTCCTGACCTAGGAGTTTTTGTGGGCTGCAGCACCGTAGAGAGGGCTGGGGACTTTTTCTGGCCGTTTCTTTTTTCACTCGGAGCCTTGATCTCAGTTTTGTGATTTGTCCTCAAGTGAAGCATATGAAGTCTGTAGCACAGAGCTGGAAGGGGTTGGGGTCATGTTGTGTGTTTCATCAGGGTCTTGTGAAGCGAGGCCAGCGGGGGCTAACCAGGGCAGCCAAGACTTATTTTCTGCCCAGCATCCCTAGGCCCTGTTGCTCCAGCCCTGCTCATTGTCTGTGGTCAACACTTTAGGGCCACATTTGCTAGGGGGAAGGGACTGCAAGATGTCCTCCTGTGGGAGCTGACCTCTTTCCCACCCCCAGTGCGCCCCAGGCTGGCTGAGCTGAGGGAGACGTCACCACTGCACGGCCTGGGCCATCTCATCATGGGCCAGAGCTACGTGTGTGCCCTCATCGCAATGATGGTGAGGAGCTGCACCTGGGGGCCTTCTCCATTTCCCACGGTGTGCTGGGAGGTGGGGTGGGCTGTGTGTCGACACCGAGGCCCAGAGTCCGGTCACCAGAAACATATGCGACTGCTGGGTGGGGAGTCACCCACCAGTGCACGGCTGGGTGTGAGCTGTCGCACTGGGACCTTGCACCTTGGTGGGCTGGGGAGCTGGGCCTGATGCCTGTGCAGCCCCTGCCCACTGGCCCTGGCTGCCCAGGTGTGGAGCATCACCTATCACAGCTGGCTGACCTTTGTGCTGCTGCTCTGGGCCTGCCTCATCTGGACGGTGCGGAGCCGCCACCAGTTGGCCATGCTGTGTTCTCCCTGCCTCCTGCTGTACGGGCTGACCCTCTGCTGCCTGCGTTACGTGTGGGCCATGGACCTGCTGCCCGAGCTGCCCACCACCCTGGGCCCCGTCAGCCTGCGCCAGCTGGGACTGGAGCACACGCGCTACCCCTGCCTGGACCTTGGTGCCATGGTAGGTGTCGCCTGCCACACCTGGGAGCTGTGTGGCGGTGGCAGGGTTTCTGCCTGTGGCCATTCTGTTTGTTGCCTAGTGGTGTAGAAACTCCAGGAGAGCAAACCACAGAGTGCTGGTTGGCCCACGTAGGCCCAGAGTTGTTATTCAATAAGTGTTGGTTGAGTGACTGACTGGGATTGTGCTGAATGGAATTGTCCTGACATTGTGGCGTCAGCATGTCCCTGCCTGCCTGACAGGGCTCCGTCACACCATGGATGTGACTTGTGCTGGGTTAGCATGCTCGTGGGCCTGTGTCTTTGTGTCTGGCTCCTGTCTGCAGACCCCTGGGTAAAAGTATCTTAGCACGTGAGACTTGCAAGCCTGTGTGAGTGCACGGGTATGTGTGGTGACTGTTCAGATATGAGCCTAACTGTGTAAGATCGTGAATTTGTGAGCCTGGGGTCCTAGGACCTCGTGCACATCCGTGTGTCTGAATATGTGACCTGTTCACGTGTGCATCTTCATGTGTGACCTTGTGCACATCTGTGTGAGTCCGTGGAGTTTGTATGAACCTGTGTGTATGAACGAGGGCAGGTTTGTGCTGGTTCCCTGGCCCTGCATCTTGGGCTGGGCCCTCGGTGACACCCCCGCTCGTCACAGCTACTCTACATGCTTACCTTCTGGCTGCTGCTGCGTCAGTTTGTGAAGGAGAAGGTGTTGAAGAAGGCGAAGCCGCCCGCTGCGCTGCTGGAGGTCACCGTGGTGGACACAGGTGAGCACAGGCAGAGGCAAGGTGGCCCCCACTGGTCCTTCCAGGCCTGAGGCCATTGCCCTGCCTTCTGGTTCGACCTGCAGAGCCCACACAGACACGAACGCTACTCCGGAGCCTGGGGGAGCTGGTCACAGGCATCTACGCCAAGTACTGGATCTACGTGTGTGCTGGCATGTTCATCGTGGTCAGCTTTGCCGGCCGCCTGGTTGTTTATAAGATTGTCTATATGTTCCTCTTCCTGCTGTGCCTCACCCTGTTCCAGGTGCCTGAGGGATGGGGCTCGGTGTGCCCCACCCTGTTGCGGGTGCCTGAGGGATGGGGCTTGGTGTGCAGTACCGGCCTGGCTCACCATCCCCCTGCTTGCAGGTCTATTACAGCCTGTGGCGGAAGCTGCTGCAGGTGTTCTGGTGGCTGGTGGTGGCCTACACCATGCTGGTGCTCATTGCAGTGTACACCTTCCAGTTCCAGGACTTCCCCACATACTGGCGCAACCTCACCGGCTTCACCAACGAGCAGTGAGTTGGGCTTGTCGGCTGCTCCCCGTGGGGTGGCGGTGGCTTCTCTCATACCTACCCTGGGCCCTGTGGCTCTGGTCTGCCCCAGCCACAGGTGGACCCTGGGGCTGGCTGGCCAGTGGCACTGACGGGCCTCTCTCCTGCCAGGCTGGGAGACCTGGGCCTGGAGCAGTTCAGCGTGTCAGAGCTGTTCTCCAGCATTCTCATCCCTGGCTTCTTCCTGCTGGCCTGCATCCTGCAGCTGCATTACTTCCACAGGCCCTTCATGCAGCTCACAGACCTGGAGCACGTGCCCCCGCCAGGTGCCCGCCGCACTCGCTGGGCTCACAGGTGTGGCTCTGTGCCCTGGCCAGTGAGCCTACCTCCACTGCTGCCCCCAAGCCAGTGCCTCCTGGTGCTGGCTGGCAGTCTCGGAAAGACCTCAACCAGGCAGGGCAGGGGACTCGGACAGACCTAAGGCATTGGCTGCCACCTTCGAATGCCATGGGCCACAGACACTGGCTGTTTTCTCACAACCCCCTGGGGCCAGGAGTGATATAAGGGTCATGGGATCAGTGACCACTTAGGCTAGGCAGAAGCCACGCAATGCCTGAAGGCCCCATGCACCTGGCCTAGCAGCTGTAGCGGACACTACAGAGCTGCAGGAGGACAGGTGGGACTCCCCAGGGAGAGAGGAGGCTAGGAGCACAGACAGGAAATGACTCTCGGGCTCTGGACTCTCATCCAGGCAGGACGTAGTGAGCGAGACCCCTCTGCTGCAACAAGAGGAGGAGGGGCTGAGCACAGATGGCCCCCACCAGGCCACACAGGGCCCTGAAGGTGAGTGGGAGGGGCACATCCCATGTAGCAAACAGGGTGCTGAGGATCTGGGCCTGGAGTCCACTGTCCCATGTCCCAACAATATGACATTGACAAAGTTCCCCCTGAGTCCCAGGAGCCTCAGACCATTCTCATTGACCCACTCCTCCCTCACCTCCACAGGCACAGCCAGCAAGTGGGGCCTGGTGGCCGAGAGGCTGCTGGACCTGGCGGCCAGCTTCTCGGACGTCCTCACCTGCGTGCAGGTGTTTGTGAGGCGTCTCCTGGAGCTGCACATCTTCAAGCTGGTGGCCTTATACACTGTCTGGGTGGCCCTGAAGGAGGTGAGTGTGGCAGGCCTGGCCACACCCATGGTCTTTTTTCCCTTTTTAGAACTGGGGTCACTCCTGGCCCAGCCTTGGTGGGCAGCTGTGGTTGTCCATGGGGCCCAGCCCTGGGGCACTGGGCAGCCCACCCACTGGCTGCTGTCCGCCTGCCCTGACAGGTGTCGGTGATGAACCTGCTGCTGGTGGTGCTATGGGCCTTCGCCCTGCCCTATCCCCGCTTCCGGCCCATGGCCTCCTGCCTGTCCACTGTGTGGACCTGTATCGTCATCGTGTGCAAGATGTTATATCAACTCAAGATTGTCAACCCCCACGAGTACTCCAGCAACTGCACCGAGGTACCAGCACAGGGTGGGCCCTCGGAGCAAGGGTTCCTGGAGGAGGTGTCCTCAGACAGTGGAGGACCACAGCCCCCTCCCCATGCAGAGGTGTCTGGGCTCAGAGGCGTGTCCCAACTGGAATGATTCCTCAGGGGACGCGAGGGCTAGTGTGAGGTGACCATGAGGCCAGCCCTGGGGAGGGGAGAGGATTTCCTGGCAACCTCCACCCAGAGTTTTCTTTGCTCTGCTCTGACCCTTTTCTGCCTTGAGCACTTCTACTCCCTAAACCGTGGCCTGTGGCTGCCCTGTTTTCCAAACACCTGGTCCTCTTCTCCCATAAGGTGACTTCAAGGCTGGCAGTCCCATGAATCCCTGGCTGGGACAACTATTGGCCTTGACCCAGAGCTGCAGCTGTGGGATGGGCTTGAGGCAGGGCCAATGTCCACCTGCTAGGTCCTAACCTGAGTCCTTGGGTCCCGGAAGCGAGGCCTGACACCTGTCCCTTCCCACCAGCCTTTCCCCAACAGCACCAACCTGCAGGCCTCTGAGATCAACCAGTCTTTGTTGTACCGTGGCCCCGTTGACCCGGCCAACTGGTTTGGGGTGCGGAAGGGCTTCCCCAACCTGGGCTACATCCAGGTGAGTTGAGGTGCTGGTGGCCAGGCAGTCCATCCCAGATGGCCCCTGAGCCTACGGGTCCCCCCAATGGCTCCAACCCCACCCCCTACAGAACCACCTGCAGATCCTATTGTTGCTGGTGTTCGAGGCCATGGTGTACCGGCGCCAAGAGCACTACCGCCGGCAGCACCAGCGGGCCTCGCTGCCTGCGCAGGCCGTGTGCGCCGAGGGCACCCGCCAGCAGCTCGACCAGGACCTGCTCAGCTGCCTCAAGTACTTCATCAACTTCTTCTTCTACAAATTCGGGCTGGAGGTGAGGCCGGGAGTCTGGTGTCTGGCTCTCTCCCAGCAGGGTTCACTGCTGCCTGGGGCATGGGGTGCAGCTCCGAGGCCCTGGACAGTGAGGGCTGCCACAACGTCCAGGGAAGCAGGTTGAGGCTGGGCCAGCTGGTGTCTGAGCTTAGAGTCTTGCTCTACTTGGAAAGTAGAGATCTGGGGAATTGAGGTTTGAGGCCAGCCCAGGCAAAAATATAGGAAGACCCCCATCTCAACAAATGGGTGTAGTGGCCTGTGCTTGTCAGGCCAGCAGGGAAGCAGAAATAGAAGGATCGCTGTCTGAAACTTGGGACCCTGTTTGAAAAAAACAAGCACAAGGGGTGGGGGTGTGGTGCGAGTGGTAGAATTTCTGCCTAGCAATCATGAGGCCCTGAATTCAAACTCACCTGCCCTGCCCACCCCGCCCAAAAAAATCTCACTCTACCATGGAGCCCCACATCGCTAAGCCTCAGTTTCCCCAAGCACGGAACAGACATGTCCAGCCTCTGCAGTCCTCTGGGGAGGGTGGCGTGTGTACCTGTGAGCCTGGGCTTCTGTCCCCACAACATGCGTGTCAGCCTGTGGGCCTGGGGCAGCCCCAGAAGTGTCCCTTTCCATCAACTCAATCCCTTCTCCATGTTCCCCTCCTGCCTGCTCCAGATCTGCTTCCTGATGGCTGTGAACGTGATCGGACAGCGTATGAACTTCATGGTGATCCTACATGGCTGCTGGCTGGTGGCCATCCTCACCCGCCGGCACCGGGAGGCCATTGCCCGCCTCTGGCCAAACTACTGCCTGTTCCTCACCCTCTTCCTCCTCTACCAGTACCTGCTGTGCCTCGGCATGCCCCCTGCCCTGTGCCTCGGTGAGTAAGCAGTAGCTTGGGGTCTGAGTGAAGGGTGCAGGGCAGAGGGGGCCAGGCGGCTGGGTGAGGGTGTGTGTGGTATGTGGAAGCCTGTGACTTGTGTCCCCTCCACCTTCCTGGACTTATCTTGGTTCTCCACAGCGTGTCCCCAGCAAGCCCATCCTGTCCACAACTAGGCCCCAGAAAGGTTTACCTGTGGGCCCACGGCCTGCACAGTGGCATTGCTCTGGAGTGCGGCCTGGACCCTCCAAGGTCTCTGCATCTGTGGTTTTCTTCCATTCCTTTTGTCCAATAATTGTGTCCTGAAACCTTCCAAACCTTCAGAGAAGTTGTGAGAATAGCAAAGGAATGCTTTATTCTCTCTCTGGGCCCCAGGACACAGTGGTGACCCTTGCCCCAAGTTCCGCCTCAAGCAGTCTCCTGAGAGTGTGGACCCTGTTCCTGCAGGATGGGGCCACTCACGATAGCCCACTGCACCCAATTCTCTTTCTCCTTTGGTCTGACTGCCCCAGCCTCTCTCATCCCTTGAGACATTTCTGGAATGCCAGGCTGGTGGCTTTGTCATATGCCCTGAGTTTTGGGTGTGTCAGGCTATTGTGAACACCGTGTGCAGGAATGTCATTCCGGTGGTGCTGCCTGGCTTAGGGCACACGGTGCTGGCGTGGCCCTCAGCTAGAGTCAAGTTTGCCTGTTTGGCCTGTTCGGGGCGAGCCTTTCTGAATGTCATAAGCCCTTCTTCCCACCATTTGATCACCTCAGATCTGGCCCTGGGAACCCCCGAGCCACACGTCTGTGAATTCTCTCCAGATCCAGTGAGGCCTGGCTCACGCGAGCAGTCCCCCATTGACAATTGCACAGAGTCGTGGGTCCACCACACCACGCAAAGACGCAGAAGGGAAAGACGCCCCCTGTGGCAGCGCCTCTCGCCAGAACCCGGCAACCACTGCCTGACCAGGATGTCTTAGGAGTGGGTTCACACGGCATGTCACTTCCTGGAGCGAGCTTTTTCCTCTCACTCCTGCTTATTACCGAACCTAACTGGGGCTAACTGGGTAGCGATGGGAGATGCAGAAAGGACACAGGATAGACAGACAGACAAAGTTGGGGCCAGGTGTGTTGGGCACTCAGATGGAGACGCACAGCAGCCTCATTCCTTCTTTTCTCTATTATTCTTTTCATTTACTCTGCTTCTTTTCTCTATCTTTATTCTTTAAGGCCTTACTCCTTTACAGTTCTTTAAAACCTTGCTTCTAATGTCTTTCTTTAAAACTTTGCTTTTGAAGTCTTCTTTTCTGTTCTTTAAAGTCTCTTTCCTTAAACTCGCACTGTCCCATGTTCTCTTTAGCTTTTCTCTAGCTTAGCTTTTCTAAAGCCTATATATAAAGTTCTCGGTGCAGACTTTCTATCAACCCCTTTTCAGCAATTCCCCTTTAGCAGTTCTCCTTCAGTAATCCTTTTCCCTTCAGCAATCCTCCCTTCAGCAATCCTTTTCCCTTCCAAAGCCTCCCACATCAAAAAGCCTTCCCCTTCCAAAAAGCCAAAAGCAAAAGCCCAAAAGCCAAAAACTTCCCAGCCCAAAAAGCCTCTGACTTGCACTGTAGAGTCCTCAGTGCAGGAAGCTGAGAGACACACACCAGCCATCAGCAGCATCAGCATCTCCCCTGCGTCCTCCTTCAGCGAGTCTTTTATACCCAGTGGTAAACAAGGAGGTTTAGCAACAGTTTTCAGAGAGGGGTGTGACATTGTAACAACAGAAACCTGCCATCTACAATTTAGGAAAAGCAGCTGTTTTGCATTTTCCTCTTCTGTGGCTGGGGCTATGCCAATCTCAGCTTGCAGAAACATCTTAGGAAAAGCAGCTGCTCTGCATCTTATTCTCGCCTTAGCCTTATTCTGTGGCCGTGGCTGTGCCGAACTCAGCCTACAGAACATTGGGTACAGCTGTGCTTAATGTCCTCAGAGGCTTCTCATAATCCACTCTCCACAGCCTCCTTGTGAGGTTTCACCTGTGTGGACAGTAGTTTGTCCCTTTTATGCGCTGCCTTTTTTTTTTGATAGGACCAGAGTTTGAACTCAGGGCTTCACGCTTGCTAGCAGGCGCTCTACCACTTGAGCCATTCCTCTCGCCCATTTTGCTCTGGTTATTTTGGAGATGGGGGTCTTGTGAACTATTTGCCCAGGCTGCCCTCGGACCTTGATCCTCTCGATCTCAGCCTGCCAAGTAGGTAGGATTACAGGTGTGAGCCGCCAGTGCCTGGCTTTCGTTTTGCTTTTTTAACAAAACGTACAAGTTACAAAGTGGTACAGAATCCCATTTTTGCCCCATTTTCTTTAGTACCAGGCTCATACAGAACGTAAGGACGAAGTGAAGAAATACATGGTGCTGTGAAGGTCCTAAGTAGGAACCAAAGCACTTGCTTTACAGGGGCATCTGGGTCCCCAGGGACGTGTCTCTTGTCTCAGGATCCCACACTGCATCCTGTCTTGGATGGTTCCTTGGTCTTTGGTGACCTTGAACAGCACTGGGCCACTGGTGTCCTCTGTGTGGGATCATCTGGGCCAGTTATACACCTTGGGCAGCTCCACGCAGGTGGGACGTACCCTCAGAGCATCCCATGGAATCCACTTTCCTTAACCTTCCTCACTCGGGTCCAGGGTGTTGGCCAGGCTTTTCCACGTGCCGTGTGTGTGTGTTCTTATAATAAGTTGTACTTATTATGGGGGAGATGCCTTAAGACTATGCCAGTGCCCTGTTTCTCCTTGAACTTTCTCCCTCTAGTCTCACATCCATCAGTGGATTTTTTTTTTTCTTTTTTTTTTTGGTACTGGGGTTTGAACTCAGGGCCTACACCTTGAGCCACTCCACCAGCCCTTTTTTGTGATGGATTTTGTTTTTTGAGATAGAGTCTCGCAGACCTGTTTGTCTGGGATGGCCTTGAACCTGGATCCTCCTGATCTCTGCCCCCTGAGTAGCTGGGATTACCGGCGTGCCACCAGTCATTCATGTGGCTTTCTGACGGCAGTTTTCTGTTTCCCTGTCTCCTTTGTATTTATTAGTTGGTGTCTTCTAAGGAAGAGCTGTCCCTTCTCCCCTTTTATTTATTCAGTTATTTATGTCTGTGTGGAGTCAGGATATTTGATTTCTTCTTTGGGATCTACTCAGTTCTATCCCTGTCCCTCACATCGTCCGGCTTTGGAGCTCTGGGTCTCCCCCATGCCACATTGTGCTCCCCACCCCCGCTCTCCTGTGCCCTGAAGTCGGCCACTGCTCAATGAAGCCCAGTTCTTTTTGGAGAGACTGAGCTACAGAGACCAAGGCCCGGCACAAGTGTGCTCATGGCTCTGAGGTAGCACTGCCTCTGTCCTCCCGGCCAGTGGTGCATGACCTTCTTCCTTCAAAACACGCATTTCCATCACCACATTGCTCCTTGCTTCCCAGCCCCTCCCATGAGGTGTTTTTGACATAGACTCACTCTGTGTGTACAGTTCTGTGGGTTTTGACACGTACATAGCTGTGTGTCCACCCCTGGCCCGTGATCCTGAGCGTCTCGTCTTGTAACCCCTTTTATAGTCAGCCCCCACCTCCAGCAACCTTTGATGTGTGCTTTGTTGTTAAGAGTTTTGCTCTTTCGAGAATGTCATATAAGTAGAATTGTGTAGCATGTGACTTTTTTGGCTCTAGCTTCTGTTGCTTAGCAGAACACATTTGAGATGCGTTCAGGTGGTCATACGTACTTTTCTTTTCCTGGCTGAGGGTGATGCACTGTACTCAGCTGCCACGATGGGTTAGTCTTTCAGTCCCTGAATGATATCTGGGTTATTTCCAGGTTTGGCTATTAGTCTATACGTAAGTGAACCTCACCTCATTGCAAAGGCTGCCGCTGGGTCAGGAGGTGTCCAGCCTGTGCACAATCTGTGCTTAAGAATCATGTGTCATAAGAGTGCCTGGAGTCTCTGGGTCTGTGAGTCCTTAAGACTGTGCTGGGGTGAGGATGGCTCCCTGTGGATCATCTGTGACGCACTCACAGACCTCTGAGGTTGCCACTCAGCAGGTGGGGATGAGGACATCTCCATCCCTTCCTGACATGCCCTCCACCTGCAGACTACCCATGGCGCTGGAGCCGAGCTGTCCCCATGAACTCTGCCCTCATCAAATGGTTGTACCTGCCCGACTTCTTCAGGGCCCCCAACTCTACCAACCTCATCAGTGAGTGATCCCTGCGTAGAACAAACCTGCCTGCTCCACGGGAGGCTGTGGCATGCACTGGGGAAGTGGGACCCTTGCCTCGGGCCAGCCAGGGGACAGGTTGTACAGGTCTCATGAGCTGGGGGACTTCCTTTTTTCCTTCTGCCTACGGCACATCCAGAAGAGGACAACTCATGCACACAAGGATGCATGAGAGAGCAATGCACACATCTAGCGTACAGGCCCGTGTGTGCTCACACATGTTCCCTGACACATGCACAGAGACACGAGTGTAGAGACAGGTGCATCCTCAGAGTTTGACACTTGTCCTGGGTAGACATCACACACTTGTGTGATCCCCCTCCCCCCCAACAGGTCTTACAGCAACAGGTCTGAGACTGGGGGGCCTGTCCCCAGTGCCGTGAACTCTAGGGCATGCACGCTCCCCTTCGTTCATACTCCTGTGGACTGCTCAGCAGCTGTCCCATGTCTCGCGTCCTGCAGGTGACTTCCTCCTGCTGCTCTGCGCCTCCCAGCAGTGGCAGGTGTTCTCGGTTGAGCGCACTGAGGAGTGGCAGTGCATGGCTGGCGTCAACACTGACCACCTGGAGCCGCTGCGAGGGGAACCCAATCCTGTGCCCAACTTCATCCATTGTAGGTGCGTCCCAGGTCACCCACCACAGGGGGCCTTCTGGGAGGGGGTGGCTAGGGGTGACCAGGGCATCCTCGGTGACAGCCCCACCCACAGGTCCTACCTGGACATGCTGAAAGTGGCCGTATTCCGCTACCTGTTCTGGCTGGTGCTGGTGGTGGTGTTTGTCACGGGGGCCACCCGCATCAGTATCTTCGGGCTGGGCTACCTGTTGGCCTGCTTCTACCTGCTACTCTTCGGGACTGTCCTGCTGCAGAAGGACACACGAGCACAACTTGTGCTATGGGACTGCCTCATCCTGTACAACGTCACTGTCATCATCTCTAAGAACATGCTGTCGGTGAGCCAGCCGCCCGGCCTCCGCCTCACCCTGGCCTCTGCCTCGCCCCTGTCCCGGCAGCTGGGGACTAACCCTCCTCCCTCCCCCAGCTCCTATCCTGTGTCTTTGTGGAGCAAATGCAGAGCAGCTTCTGTTGGGTCATCCAGCTTTTCAGCCTCGTGTGCACAGTCAAAGGCTACTACGACCGTGAGTGGGTGAGGCCTGTGGGCTGGGGGGACACGGGGACCCCCATGGCTTCTGGCCCTGACCCCCAGTTGTGTTGGCTCCTGTCCTGTAGCCAAAGAGATGATGAGCAAGGACCAGGACTGCCTGCTGCCCGTGGAAGAGGCCGGAATCATCTGGGACAGCGTCTGCTTCTTCTTCCTGCTGCTGCAGCGCCGTGTCTTCCTCAGTCACTACTTCCTGCACGTCAGTGCCGACCTGCGGGCCACCTCCCTGCTGGCCTCCAGGTCTGCCAGCCCCAACACACCAGGAGCACCCGGGGCAGGGAAGGGGCACTGCTAGGTACCCCATTGTGGCCCAGGGCTCATTTACAGTAGTGCCTGTGCTCTCTGACACTCATGTCACTGAGAGGGAGAGTTGAAGGACCACGGAGTCAGCACATGCTTGCCCAGGACTAGATCTTGCTCAGAGAAGAGCATGGGCTGTGGTTTTCGGTCCCGGCTTTGGCCCCCATCAGCCTGAGCGTCCCCACCAGCTGGAGGGCCATCTCCTCTTGAGCTGGGCTTGGGCTTAGTGCCTTCCCTGGGCTCCCCTGAAATTCTAGGTGCAAGTGGTGGTTGTCCCCACTTGCCTTTCCTTTGCTGGTTTCCTGCCCCAGGAGACTGGAGGGACATAAGGGACTCCTTTCACCACACACATCACAGGGTTGGGGTGGCAGGCACCTCCCAGCACGTGCCACAGGGGCCCTCACTGTGAGCAGTAGGACCAAACAGGCTCCTAGGAGCACAGTGTTGAGCTGGGCCCATAAATGGAGGGGAAATTCGTGCAGATGGAGATGAAGCTGGGGGCAGGGAGGTAAGGGAGCAGGGGTGTGGGGTGGGGAGTCTCACACCCTTTCCTTGCAGGGGCTTTGCCCTCTACAATGCAGCCAACCTCAAGAGCATTGACTTCCACCGCAAGGCAGAGGAGAAGTCCCTGGCCCAACTGAAGAGACAGTAGGTGCTCTCTGGGGCAGGGACGCTGGGTTCCGACCAGCCTGGCACTCAGAGCCTCCTCCCGCTCACAGGATGAAACGCATCCGTGCCAAGCAGGAGAAGCATAGGCAGAGCCGGGCCGGCCGTGGCCACCCCCAGGCCCTGGACCCCGAGGACCCCAACCAGGAGCCAGGTGAGCATGGATGGAGCCCAACACCTCTGAGGGCCCCTCCATCTAGGCATGCCTGTGTCTGCTGGAGCCTGCGTGCAACTGTCCCCTGTGATGTCCCCACAGGGCTCCTCGCCCACCTGTCCTGTGCCATGTGATGTAGTTACTTCTGACCAAGCAGGCTGTGTGGACACCCTGTGACTGCCTGCCTGCCCCCCCTTCCCCATCCCTCCAGGCTCTAAGCCACGCATTACCACAAGGCACACTTTGTCACCGGCGGGATTCCATGTCTGTTTCTGTCGTCTCTGCCACGTGACCCTTGTTCCCAAAGTGGGCTCTCCTCCCAGCCTCCCTGCCCCCTCCCTGCTGCCTCACGCTTGCCCTGCCCCTCCACAGGGCCCAGCAGTCCAGGGGGCTCCTCCCCGCCACGGAGGCAGTGGTGGCGCCCCTGGTTGGACCACGCCACAGGTACCCTGCTCCTCACCTCACTGGCTTCTTCTCGTCCCGTTTCGTCTTGTCCTGCTGTTCTGGCCTGTGTCCTGTGCATGCATCACCATCCTCAGCCTGCTGATACCCTGCATAGGGGACTCCCATAGGGAAGCAGCACTTGGGCAAGGCCACAGGGGTCAGGGATGGGGTGCTGTGGGGAGAGCCTAGTGGGTCTGTTACTGGCAAATCCCAAACTAAGAAGGAACCTGAGGCCTGTGGGGGTCATGCTGGGGTTCAGCTCTCATCTCCATCTTGCCTGCAGTCATCCATTCTGGGGACTACTTCCTGTTTGAGTCTGACAGTGAGGAGGAAGAGGAAGCTCTGCCTGAGGACCCCAGGCCCTCAGCACAGAGTGCCTTCCAGGTGAAGTGGGGGCTCCCATCTGCTCCCCTGCTGGTCAGGGCAATATGAAGGCAGACACCCTTTGGATAGGGACCCCGGCCCCATGCAGCCCTCCCCAAGCAGCCCTAACTGCTTTACTAAAACCAGGCTGTGGGTAAGGGATCTCTCCAGGAGACATCTGCCCCTCTGCCACTGCCTCCGAAGGTCTTGGGGCTCTGACCCCCCAAGGCTTCATGGCTGCCACCTGGCCTGTGAGAAGGGCTGTGTGTGCTTGCTAGACAACTGTGTCCTACAGCTAGCAGGGGCCTCCTGTCCATCTTTGGGGACAGACAGCAGGGTCCAGTGCCAGGACCCTGTTTCTCTCTCTTCCTTGCGAGGGGACCTTGGGACTGGGTTGAACTGGATCCTGCAGTCAGGGAGGCAGGGGCCTAACCCTAACATGTGGCCAGCAGATGGCGTACCAGGCATGGGTGACCAACGCCCAGACGGTGCTGAGGCAGCGGCGGGAACGGGCACAGCAAGAGAGGGCAGGACAGCTCCCCACTGGTGAGTTGCCTTGGGGGCCCGGCTGGGGAGCTGCCGGGCTGCCAGACACTGACCAGTCCCTGTTCCCAGGAGGCGGCCCGAGCCAGGAGGTGGAGCCAGTGGAGGCCCTGGAGGATGAGGTGGCAGGTACGTAGCCAAGGGACCGGGGGCTTTCCTGGCCAGTCACCCCTCCCACACCCCTCCTGCCCTCCCTGCAGGCCAAAGCCATATGCTCCAGCGTGTGCTGAACGCAATGCAGTTCCTGTGGGTGCTGGGCCAGGCCACGGTGGACGGGCTGACGCGCTGGCTGTGCGCGTTCACGAGGCACCACCGCACCATGAGTGATGTGCTGCGAGCTGAGCGCTACATGCTCACACAGGAGCTCCTGCGGGTGAGCCCGGCCCACCCTGCCCGCGACCCTTGCCCTACACCACACCCACACCTGCTCTTCAGCCTGTGCCAAGCGCAATGTACTGGGCCAATCCCAGCAGCCGAGACCACTCCCCATGCCCTGCAGGGTGGCGAGGTGCACCGGGGTGTGCTAGACCAGCTTTACGTGAGCGAAGTGGAGACTGCACTGTCAGCCCCCCAGGAGGCCCGTGATGGACCCAGCACCGCATCAAGGCAGGTGGAAGGCCCCAGGGGCTGGGCGTGAGCCAGGAATCCTCTTGGTCCCAAAGCAAGGGCTGACCCCTAAGCTCCTGAGGGGCCAACCCAGCCCTCACATCCCTCTGGGGTGCTCCACGGTCCCTCCCCCGAGCAGTGGGCCACATGAGGTTGAGGTGGGACTGACTCAGCTCCCCTCCCACAGTGGGCTGGGAGCTGAGGAGCCACTGAGCAGCATGACGGATGACACTGGCAGCCCCCTGAGCACTGGCTACAACACCCGCAGTGGCAGCGAGGAGATTGTCACAGATGCTGGGGACCTGGACACTGGGGCTGCCCTGCATGGCTCCCAGGAGCTTCTGGCCCACGCTCGCACACGAATGCGTACAGCCAGCGAGCTGCTCCTAGACAGGTGGCAAGGGCGGGGCTGTGTGTTCTCACTGAGCCTCTGGGGAGGTGTGTGGGGCAGGGGAGGAGCTGGGCTCCAAAGCCCAGGCCTGGGGGCAGAGCCTGCCACCTCTGTGGCTGCCTGGGCTTTGGAGCTGAGGGGCAGGCCCCACTGCTTCCTCCAACCTCGTGTGGCCCCACTGCAGGCGCCTGTCCATCCCAGAGCTGGAGGAGGCTGAGCGGTTCGCAGCAGAGCAGGGCCGAGCACTGCGGCTGCTGCAGGCCCTGTACCTGTGTGTGGCTGCCCACTCGGAGCTGGTCTGCTACTTCATCATCATCCTCAACCACATGGTGACAGCCTCGGCCGCCTCCCTGCTGCTGCCCGTGCTCGTCTTCCTGTGGGCCATGCTGACCATCCCGAGGCCCAGCAAGCGCTTCTGGATGACCGCCATTGTCTTCACCGAGGTGGGCTGCGGTCAGTAGGGTTGGGGGTGGGGTGGCCTGGCCCCGTGCTGAGCCCCCTGTCCCGCAGGTCATGGTGGTCACCAAGTACCTGTTCCAGTTTGGCTTCTTCCCCTGGAACAGCCATGCGGTGTTAAGGCGCTACGAGAACAAGCCCTACTTCCCACCACGCATCCTGGGCCTGGAGAAGACAGACGGCTACATCCGGTATGACCTGGTGCAGCTCATGGCGCTCTTCTTCCACCGTTCCCAGTTGCTGGTGAGTGCCCCTCAGACCCAGGGGGAAGCTGGAAATTAAGTGGCTGGCGGTGCCTCAGGTCAGCCTTCTCACTGCCCTGCCCTGCCACAGTGCTACGGCCTCTGGGACCACGATGAGGACCCACTCCCCAAGGAGCATGGCAGGAGCAGCGGGAAGGACCGAGGGGCTGAGGAGGGGCCAGTGACCCTGCTGGCACCCCAGACTCAGGCAGACACAGGGCACCCAGAGGAGCCAGGGCTGGCTGGAACCACCAAGGACCACATCCCAGCGGAAGTGAGTGTCGGAGCCCAGGACAGGATCCCAGAGCCCCAAGTGGACCTGAAGGGCCGAGACCTGAGGCGCCTCAACCTGCGCTTCAGGAGGAGGAAAGAGAGCCCAGCATCCAAAGGAGGAGTGGCCATCGGTAAAACAGCTTGACCTGCTCCTGGGTAGGGGGAGATGACAGGGATGGCCACCAGCCAGCATGGGGGCGACCTGGATTCCAGGTACTTGGGGACTATTTCTGGGAAAGAGAGAACTCACGGCTGCTTGCAGGATCCTCCCTGCTCCTGCCCCTGGGGCTGTCCCTTTGTAGGTGAGCAGGGGGCGACCACTGTGCTCAGCCTGCTTGTCTGCAAAGTGGGACAATGCCAGCCCCTGGAGGTGGTCAGGAGCCAGACTTGTCCCTGATGGACTTGGTCAGCAGCACTTCTCCCTGACAGAGTCTGAAAACAGGGAGGAGGAGGAGGAGGAGAAAGAGGCTGAGGGGAGGAAGAAGCCAAGTCGCTCCCAGAAATGATGAAGGCGGCTGGGCGCCGGCTGCAGAACCTCTGCCTGTCACTGTGAGTGAACCTGGCCTGGGAGCTGCCACAGCAGTGGGGTAGGGAGGAGTGCCCAGGGGTGGGCATCTAGCTGAGGCCACCTGCCCACAGGGCCAGAAGCATGCACCAGCCCCTGCGGCGTTTCTTCCACGACATTCTACACAGCAAGTACCGCGCAGCCACGGACGTCTACGCGCTCATGTTCCTGGCAGACGTTGTCGACTTCGTCATCATCATCTTTGGCTTCTGGGCCTTTGGGGTGAGCTGGCCTGGGCCCCCCATGGTGTAGGGCAGCAGCTGCCAGGCCCCCGCCTCCAGCTTCGTCTCTCCTGTGTTCTTTGGCTTACAGAAGCACTCAGCAGCCACAGACATTACATCCTCACTATCAGATGACCAGGTGCCAGAGGCCTTCCTGGTCATGCTTCTGATCCAGTTCAGCACCATGGTCATCGACCGCGCCCTCTACCTGCGCAAGACCGTGCTGGGCAAGCTGGCTTTCCAGGTGGTCCTGGTGCTGGCCATCCACCTCTGGATGTTCTTTGTCTTGCCGGCTGTCACTGAGAGGCAAGTGCTGTGGGCTGCTGGAACCCCAAGGGGACTGGTCTGTCTGGGGACGCAGAAGTCACCACGCATGGCGGCAGCGGCGGGGGGTGTCCAGGGCTCTGGCCTCCTGGACTCTGTTTCTGATGGGATGCCTCCCCTGCCACCCCATCCCAGGATGTTCAGCCAGAACGCAGTGGCCCAGCTGTGGTACTTCGTGAAGTGCATCTATTTCGCCCTGTCTGCCTACCAGATCCGCTGCGGCTACCCCACCCGCATCCTCGGTAACTTCCTCACCAAGAAGTACAACCACCTGAACCTCTTCCTCTTCCAGGGGTGAGTGTGGTCTGCCCAGGCGTCAGGGAGCAGGCAGCAACTGGGACAGCTGGCCTCATGGAACCCTGGCCTTGGCAGGTTCCGACTGGTGCCGTTCCTGGTGGAGCTGCGGGCAGTCATGGACTGGGTATGGACAGACACCACGCTGTCCCTATCCAGCTGGATGTGTGTGGAGGACATCTATGCTAACATCTTCATCATCAAGTGCAGCCGAGAGACGGAGAAGGTGCTGGATAGCCCATGGGTGCCAGAGGCCAAAAAAGCAACTGTGGGCCAGAGAAAGGAGCTTTCTGAAACTCCTCTGGGCAGCTGGACGTGGGCCCTGAGGGTAGAAAGGACAGTGGCCTGGGCCCTCGGGCTTGCAGCAGAGCTGTGGGGAGCACAGCCTGGTGGAGGTGGAGGTGGGGGGCAGGCAGACACTGGCTGGCAACTGCTTTTGTGTACGGCTCAGTGGTCTAACATTGATAAAACTCTGCATCCATCACTTCCCAGCCTGTCGATCTTAGTCTACCTCCTGTCACTGTGAATCTGCCTGTTACAGTTGCTTCCTAAAACAGAACCAGGTGGTACCTGCCCTGTTGTCTGGCTCCCTTCCCTCAGCAGTGTTTCTAAGGCTCTTGCACATCATAGGTCAGTTCTTCACTCCTTTTCATGGCTGAGCTGTGCTCCATGGTGTCAAGGGACCCTCTGCTGATGGACTGCTAGGTTGTTTCCACCTTGTGGCTACTGCGTGTCCATGGGCAGCCACCTAGAAGTGGAGCCGCTCTGGTCAGATTTTAAGGACCTGCCTGTTTTCCAAGTGGTTGCACCACTCCAAGTAGCAGTGTAAAGGCTCTAATTTCTGACAACTTGTCACTCAGCTTTTTGATGACAGCCATCTCAAGGGTGAGCCATGGAAGCTCACCGTGGCTGAGTTCATCACAGCTGTGAAGAGCATCTGTCCATGTGTTCATCTTTGGAGAAATGTCTTTGCCTCGGGTTCTGCCTCTGTTACCAAGTGGTAGGAGCTCTCACTGGGTACCGTGGCCACTCGAGCCTCACCTCACAGCTGGGCTGTAGCTTCTCTCCCATGCCGGGCTGCCTCTTCACTTTCGTGATGGTCTTTTGAAGTACAAGTGAGTTCAGAAATACCCAGTTTGCCTTTTTCCGCTTTGCTCAAGTTTTTGGTGTTATTTCCGAGTCCTCTGCCAAGCCCAAGAACACTAGCTTGTTTCTTCACACCACGCCCTTTGACCCTCACTTGTTTCCGTGTGTCTGGGGGGTGGGGAGGACTACTTTCTCGTGCTGTGCATGACGTCCCAGCCCTGTTTGTCGGAGAGCTGTTCCCACCAAGTAGTGTCCGCGCAGTGTCTAGAATCCTTGGGATTTATTTCAGGGCATCAGTTCTGTTCAGCCACCTGCGTCTCTCCTTACGCCAGGACTGACTGGGCTGACGCTAGCCTCGCACCGATGGCAGGTCACAGGTTAGAGCCCATGGTCCTGTGAGAGGCTGGGAGGCTGATGGGGTCTCGCCCTCCACCCTGCAGAGGTACCCGCAGCCCAAGGGGCAGAAGAAGAAGAAGATTGTCAAGTACGGCATGGGTGGCCTCATCGTCCTCTTCCTGGTCGCCATCATCTGGTTCCCGCTGCTCTTCATGTCACTGGTGCGCTCTGTGGTCGGTGTTGTCAACCAGCCCATCGATGTCACTGTCACCCTCAAGCTGGGAGGCTATGAGGTAAGCAGCTGCCAGCCCTCTGTTCACCTGGCACAGCAGGCTGTGCCCCCTGTCCTGCTCCTGTCCCATGGACCCTGTGCAGAGCTCTGTGCACCAGCTCATGTTTGCCTTGTCCCTAGCCTCTGTTCACCATGAGTGCCCAGCAGCCGTCCATTGTGCCCTTCACGCCCCAGGCCTATGAGGAGCTCTCTCGGCAGTTTGATCCCTACCCGGTGAGTGCCCCCCCTCTCAACGCCCCCCCCCCCCGCCACTGCGTTCAGCTGATGGGAAGAGGTGGCCTGGCAGGGTGGGGGTGGCCAGCTGTGCAAAGTGAGTGTGCCCCGCAACAGCTGGCCATGCAGTTCATCAGCCAGTACAGCCCTGAGGACATCGTCACGGCACAGATTGAGGGCAGCTCTGGGGCACTGTGGCGCATCAGCCCCCCAAGCCGGGCTCAGATGAAGCGGGAACTGTACAATGGCACAGCTGACATCACTCTGCGCTTCACCTGGAACTTCCAGAGGTGGGTCCTGAGTCTGGAGGGCCTGGGGGCCTAAGCTTGCAGTGGGTCACACCATGTCTACCCTCAGGGACCTGGCCAAGGGCGGCACTGTGGAATACACCAATGAAAAGCACACCCTGGAGTTGGCCCCCAACAGTACCGAGCGGAGGCAGCTGGCCCGCCTACTCGAGGGCACGTCGGACGAGTCAGTGTGAGTGGGGGCTCTGGTGGGATGGACAGTGTGCAGAAGAGCTGGGATGGCCCTGACACAACGGCTCTGCCCACAGGGTCATTCCCAATCTCTTCCCCAAGTACATCCGTGCCCCCAATGGGCCAGAAGCCAACCCTGTGAAGCAGCTGCAGCCCAGTGAGTACGGGGGTGAGGGATGCTGGGACACAGCCTCAGCCCTGGGATGGGATGGTGGCCCATGGCTCCAACTGTCCCAACTCTGACCCAGACGAGGAAGCCGACTACCTTGGCGTGCGTGTCCAGTTGCGGAGGGAGCAAGTGGGTGCAGGGGCCTCGGGCTTCCTGGAGTGGTGGGTCATTGAACTGCAGGACTGCAGTGCTGACTGCAATCTGCTGCCCATGGTCATCTTCAGCGACAAGGTCAGCCCACCCAGCCTCGGCTTCCTGGCTGGCTATGGGTGAGTAAGGGGACGAGGGGCCTCCTGCAGCTCTGGGTGGGTGCTGGCCAACAGCCCCAGGCCTCACCCTTCCCTCCTGGCAGGATCATGGGGCTGTATGTGTCCATCGTGCTGGTCATAGGCAAATTTGTGCGAGGCTTCTTCAGTGAGATCTCACACTCCATCATGTTTGAGGAGCTGCCCTGTGTGGACCGTGTCCTGAAACTGTGTCAGGACATCTTCCTGGTGCGGGAGACACGTGAGCTGGAGCTGGAGGAAGAGCTATATGCCAAGCTCATCTTCCTGTACCGCTCACCTGAGACCATGATCAAGTGGACGCGTGAGAAGGAGTAGGCGCCCTGTGCCTGGGCACCGGGAATGAAGGAGCCACCCAGGGGCAGCAATCCTCAGGCCAGGGCACCGCTGTCCAAGGCCACCAGCTGTGATATATCTTCCCTGGCCCATCTGAGCCCTGATGCTGCTGTCAGAAGGACCTATCACCCCATGGGCCCAGTGTAGCCCAGGGATGGCCACACTGGGCCTGGGGGTGCAGCCCTGCCTTCCCCACATGTACTGTAGAGTTTTCTAATTAAAAATGTTTTTATTTATACAAATGGACAGCCATAGGCTTGTCTCATCCTTGCCGTCACAGCTCTGTCACACTGCCTGGTGTACCCTTGAGGTTCAGCTCTGCGCAGTGTCTGCCTCATTGTCACTGTCCTCGATCAGGTACTCCTGAATCTCCTGCATGACCCAGGCCCTGCAGCGGGGAGGAGGGGGAGTGCACAGTGGGAACCAGCCCTGAGGGACCCCCCCAGAAGGAGCTCCCAGAAGAGCAGGCACCAGTACCTCTGGCTGCGGAGCTGGGCCTCGGCCAGGATGTAGGGGGGCAGTGTGTCCGGGGAGGGCTGCAAGAGAAGCCAATGTTGGGTGAGGGGCTTGAACCTGGCCATGCCCACTGCTGCAAGGAGGGAAGTCTCACAGGTCTAGGGTGGCCATCCACTCACCAGGTCCTTCATGGTCACCCGGCAGCCATAGCACAACTGCTCGCTGACAGAGGCAGAGGGGTCCTCTCTGTGGAAGCAGAGCTGGATCTGTGCCTGGTCTCACAGGCACAGTGAGAGGAGGAACAAGACAGGGTCTCACCTCCTACAAGCTACCCTGCAGCAGCTCTGGTCCTGGCCCTTGTCTGCAGTGCAGCAAGACGGGATGGCCATCCCAGCCTCAGTCTGTGACGTCTGTGAGAGACGCAAGGAGGTCTGAGCCCCAAAGGCTGTGGCACTGTCTGTAAGCAGAGAGGGGCTGAGGAGAGCCTGAGGTTGCTGAACCCCAACACCCACTTCCCTGGTTTGCCCACTCCCACCCAGTACCCCAAGAAGACCTGCACAAACCATTGGTGTCGATGTCCAGCGCACACATGCAGAGGAGGCAGTGGGGACCTGAGAGGCTAGCGGCACAGCCCTCCCTGGGGGCTTTGACCAGCTTCTCACTTGTCCTGTGGGCAGGTGGGGACAGGTCACAAGTACACAGGAGACTATGCTACTTCCTGAGCCCTGGCCCAAGCTCGGGGAATGGCTTAGCAGCCCAACCTGTACATACACACCTGTACACAGTGCTGACTGTGGAGGGGAACTGGGTCTGCAGCCTGAGGATGAAGGCCTCCATCAGCCGGTGGATGCTGGCCTTTTCAGGGGCCTAAGCACATTTGGATGGGGACTGAGAGGTCCTAGAGCTGGTTGGTGCTGTAGGCTTCACACACCAGCCCCTTGAAGCCCCACTGCTGGGGCTGTGGAACTTTTACAGTGTGCTGACAAGGTCATCTCACCACCCCATTACCTCTGGATGGCTAGGGCTAGCTATGCCCCTTGGAGACCCTAGAGGACACAGCTACTGGCCCCATACAAGACAGGATAGCAGGTGTTGAGGCCACAGAGGACTCAACACAGGACTGGAGGGTTAGTGTTTGTGTAGACCCAGTTTGGGTCCCTGACCAGTTATGTCTGTTGGCCAGTTATGACCCTGTGTTGAGGGGAGGCCACCCCAGCCTGGCCCATGTAGCTCACACTGGTGGGCCCACCTTGGTGTCAACAGCTGGCGTGAAGACTGAAGGGACAGCAAACAGGCGGTTGTAGAAGGCCACCTCCTTCAGTGTGTGGTCCCTCATGGGCCGTACTATCACCACATCCCCATGCCGCTCATCTGAGAAGCCCTGGGGGTTGGAGGCTGTGTGGCTGACGTCCTAGCTGCCCACGCCCCCATGTCCCAGCTGGAGTAGGTCCCAGGCCCCTCCTCCATGTGGAGCCCCAGGACCCACAGATGCTTTCAAGTGAAGGCAGCCAAAGGGAAGACTGGGAGAGGCACCCAGCCCATGTACCGTATCCCAGGCGAGGAAGGCCCCTCTCCCCAGGGCCAGGTTGGTCATGAGCTTGATGGCTAGGCGGGTGCAGCTGTCCCCGGTCATCACCTTGGAGTAGCCATGAATTCGGGCCACGTGCAGAATCAGGTGGGTCCTATAACAAGAGGCAGTATTTCAGGGGCCGCGGCAGAGGTCCCATAGGCTGAGGTGGGACCTGGGGGGTGGGCTCACCGCAGGGTCTGCAAAAGCTCCTCCTTGGCAGTCAGCGTCTTTGCGGAGTCAAATAATCTGGATAGGGCCTCCGTCTGGGAGGCTGTGGGGAACTCAGCTGGGCCCAGAGGAGCCTGAGTTTGGGGCAGGTCCAGCTGCTCCTCTCCTTGAGCTGGGCTGATGTTGCTGTCAGCCCCTAGATTGTGCTGCTGCTGCAGGAAGCTGTCCACGGCCGCCTTGTAGGCCCCCTTGGCCCCGGATGACTCCCGGGCAGAGCAGCGCAGCACTGATGGTGTCAGGTTGAATACCTGCCAGGGTGCAGGAAAGGGCACTGAGTCCAAGGCCTATACTAGGGAAACTGAGTGTCAGGGCAGGAGGCCCATGGGCTGGCCCCAACAAGCAAGCATGTGGTTCTCACAGTCATCCCCAGAGGTCACCTCCAAGGCTGTTTCCCAGGGCAGGCCTACCCACCTCCTCTAAGGCAACCACATGCCATGGGAAGCCAACAGTTTGAAGGATCAGCTTCACCTCAGCGAGGGTCTTGGCTCTGTCCTCTGGGCTTTGGCCGCAGGCTGCTCCCTCTGCAAAACCGGTAGAAAGGAGGCTAAGGGCTTGCATAGGAGAAGCCTGAGATGGAGCAGGCTTAGGGGCCAAGTCCTCACAGACAAATCCCACAAGGCCATGCTTTGCACCAGGGCCATTTAAGGCAGGTGCCAGTCTTTTCCTCTGGGGAGGGGGCCATTTTCAGATATGGCACAGGTTCCCCCTTGTGGCTAGAGATGCCACTAAGAACTGAACTTGCCACCACTGAACTTGTGTTTCTCAGCCTGGGATGCCAAGACAGGACAGAGCAGACACTCCTGCCCCCCACACTTTGGGACAGTCTGAGACTCCAGAATAGTGGTGCTCTCTGATGCTAGAACCATCCCCACCAGGGCCTCAATGTGGGGACAACACAGCCCTCTGGGCAGGCCTTCCAAAAGGAGGATCAATAGGGCTGTCACTAAGTAGTTAGAGCCTGCGAGACACATACCATCAACAAAGATGACTCCAGGCACAAAGCGCAGTTTTTTGGCAGAATCCTGACTCAGGCCCTAGAAGGAGAAGTGTTGGGGACTTAGACCCCAGTTTTAAGCCACAGGGCACTTTCCAGCTGAGACCATTTCTCTGGATTTAAGATCCTCCTGGAAGTGAACAAAGCTGTTCAGACTTGAGAGCCAGCAGACCCTGTGAATAAGGCTGACCTTAAAGGCAGGCCATGGGTCTGAGACCCCCTACACACACAGTAAAACATGAAACCTCAGAACCTACCAGTCTGTCCCTGATGCCCCAGCAACCTGAGGTAAGCACCAAGGCCACTGTACCTCCTGCTGGGCATCTTGGACCCCTCAGAAAGAGTTCTTATATATAAGAACAGAGGTGACGACTGCTGGGGAGGGTCAGCAGGGCTCAAGAAGAACCATGCTGGGCACTGGACGAATGGTCTCACAGTGGGAACTTATTTCACCTCTACGCAAGAGGGTTAGAGGACCCCTGGGAGAGAACCGACCATAGCAATGTTCTGCAGGCTGCCCTCCCTGGGCACTGCCCTATGCCAGGCTCAGCCTGGACCACTGACACCCATCCCCAAGACCACAGCCTCCTCACCAGCCCTTCAGTCTGCACCCTCACAGGAAGTTCTGTGGGAGTATGCGTGTCCACCCCTATGCCAAGGCCCCTCTCTCAGAAACGTCACACACCTTTGCAGTCTCCTGGGTCTATGGCTTGAGCTCCCACTCTATCTGCCCCTCCCTGCACATGCTGCCCTCTCTGCCTAGACCACTTCTCCTGGCAAACACTTCCCACCTCTCACAAGACTTACTTGGGTAAGCTGCAACATCGTGGTGATGCAGGTTGGGAGATGGGCAGAGCTAAACTGGGGTACAGCTGGGTACCTGACACAGCTTCTGGTTTGTGCACCTACTATACACATGAGCTTGCAGGCACATCCACTTGAAGCCTTGAAGGTTTAATGCAGCAGGCCTAGCTGTGCAGAAATGGCTTAAGCACTCACTAAATACAGGGACCTACACCCCTCCTAAAACTAAACACACCTGCTAGCTGTCCCACCAGGGAGTATGCTGTTCTCTTTAGTGTCCACCAGTCTACGGCCATACCACCCTGAACATACCTAATCTCGTTTAGTGTCCACCAAGAGCCCTTCAGTGTTGGTTGAGAAGGGAAGTCCCCCCACCCAACTCAACCCAGTAGTTTGGGCCTGGGGGGTGGTGTAGACGCACCTCAAGGACTTGCCAGACCATGGAGCTGGATGAAGGACCCCCAGACCATGCCAAGAGCACCTGGGAGAGATGAAACATCAGCAAAGGCACACAGCTTCAACACACATGGGTCTATCCCAGCCCATGGACAGCCTGACACTAAGTCCACCCTCAAAGCCCAGGGATGGCAGGCCAGCTGTGGTGAGGACAGGCCATCTGCAGGAGGGACATGAGGGACTGAACACTGAGCCCCAGGGCCAATCTACCTTCTCTCCAGGAAAGATGAGGCGGTTCTTTCCCAGCATGGCTCTGAATTTGTGCACATAGAGGGCCTTGAAGCAATCCCTGTAACACAGATGCCAAGGAAGGCTGTTGTAAGCCTGCCAGCTGGGAGCAGCCCAAGGTCCCATTGGGCTGTAGCATCCTTCTTTTAGTAACGCCCAACCTTAGAGGCAGCATCTTCACATGGAGGCTCTGCCAGAGCCTGATGAAAGGCTAGGTGGAGGGGCTCTCCAAGATGCAGCTCCCAGGGGTACCAGGGTTCACAGGGACACACCCAGGCCCCAGTGCGTGTGAGCAGCACAGGGCATGGAATCTGTAACTAATGCCCTGTAAGTACTCAGAAGAGCTGACTGGTGAAAAGGGTGGACTCAGGCCAGTGCAGGGTGAGGCAACCCTTGACCCCCACAAGAAAACCTACTAATGGGCTGCTTCCAAGACCTTCACAGGCAGAAATACCACCTCTCTGGGGTGAAAAGGGGGGAAGCACTAAGCAGGCCACAGAGAAGGTCCAGCATCCTGGGCATGCAGGCTTGTCTACCCAAGGCTGTAGTGCACCAGGCCTCCCTGGGCAGAAATGGCCTTAGAATTTCACCAAAGGCAGGGGCCTAGGCCCCTGAAACCCACAGAATCAACTGGGGTCTGGGAAGCTGCATACTTAATAAATGTTCTCACTGACTCTTGAGTCACTAGGTCAGACACCGTCAGCCTGTGTGATTAGAATTTGTAGGAGTGAAGCCCAGAATCTCCACTTTAAAAGCTCTCCCGGGAGGTAAGAGTATAGCTCAGGATGCACAAGGCCCTGAGTTCAACACCACACATACAAAAAAAAAAGCCCTCCTGATAGGCAGTCAGAGTAGAGGGCAGTGCCCAGAACAAAGGGAGAGCATTGGTGTCATGAGGGGCTGCCCTACACCTGAGCTGCACCAGTCTCTTCTTTGTTCTCATGAAGCATATCCAGTGTCCACAGAAATCCCTCCCAACACTGAACAGACACTGTGTACAAGGGGCCAACTGTCCCCACCCCATGGTTTCTTCACAGAGAGTAAAGCAGGTCAATATTTGAAGGCCCAATGGTGGGCCCAGGAGCTCCAGGGGGCCAGTGAGTGCCAATGCCTGGATGTGGGAAGTGACTCCCCAGGAAGCAGCTTGGGGTGTGGCAAGTCGACCATAAGGTTGCTGACTGAGGGCAAGGAGAACCTGAGAGATTCCCTGCTCCCCAGCTTGGATTCAAGCATGGCAGGTTCAAAGGAGGCATAGTCTGCGGTCCTGAAACCATGCCCTCTACCATGATCCAGGCAAGACACCATTTTCTACACTTGCCTGCCCTGCATCATCAGACTTGTCAAAGCCTCCACCTGGAGAGTGGCTTCCCGCCTTCATTGGGACCATGAAAGCATGGGAGGGGGAAGTTCTGGGTCTGAGAAGGGGCCCTGATGGCCTCGAGCTGCTGCAATATGTACTGTCTGAATTCCCAAGCACATCAGAGCAGTCCTCTCATTTTCAGATGCTCTTGGTAGTTAAAGCAGCACCTGCCTTGCCCAAGTTATATTTCCTGGTAACACACACATCTTCTTCCAATCTACTGGGCTCCAAAAGATGGTCAGTGGCAAGAAAGTTTTGAAAAATCAATCACAGACCCTCTATTCCAATGGTTTCTTTGCAGTAAGGGTAGAGAGCAGAGCCTGATACTCCTGGGGACCACCTTAAAAATGTGAGATCATCACTCACTCAACAAACACAGACTATGCTCCACTAGGACTTAGGAGGTTAAAATGAAAGAGACCTGGTCTTGCCTTTGGGGAGCTATGTGTCTAGTGAAAAGGGCTAAGAATTAAAATGACCATATTGCAAAGGAAAGAAGACAGAGCCACAAGAGTTACAGATATCATGCACCCTCCCCCTGGCCCCTCTCCAAATAATCTCTTGATCCCAGCCAAAGGCCCTCCTAAAACTGGAAGAAGACTAGAGCTCTCTTCCAAGCCTCTATACTCGCAGATAAAATGGGCAACTTCTTCCCAGAGCACCTGCCCAAGATCCCAGGACTCTCTGACCTCCCTCAGATGTGTTCCGGCTGTCCCCATATATCCACTTTCCTACACCTTGCCCCAGTCTAGACATCCCACCCCATAAGCTCTCCCCATGAATTCCCCCAAAGTCTTTCCTGGCACCTGACCATAGCTAGATCTAGGAGATTGCTACCTAGGTTTCCCACCTCCACTGCAACAGGGCTCCTGGAAGCAACATGAGAAACAGGCACAAAGTAACCGTACTTTCAAAAGGAAGAAATAAAGCCTCTGAAAGTGAGGCCTCACCTGCAGAAGGCATCTCCCGCTCGGATGACCACCACTGGCGGGCCTTCCTTGCACTTCACGCACTTCTGCTCACGACTTTGCAGAATCCGGAGGAGAGAACAAGAACACAGATGACATGTCCCCTCACCTCAGAGAGCTTGGAGGAGACACTGTCGTGGTTTACACCCCGAGCGGGGCCAGAGGGAGACACCGGTACACGCAAGAACCAGGGCTTGTGTTCTGTACTAGCTACCGACTAAAGACCAAGGCCGGGGGCTGGAGGGTGGATGGAGAACTGTGTGGCCTGGAAATGCGGCCTAGGGGAAACTGAAGGCCACTCTTGATCTCTGAGTAGAGGACAGACCTTGTTCTGTGTGCCACGGGCAGCGACAAGACAGTAAGGCCAGGTCCCCAGGGGCTGCGCGAACCAGCTGGGGGCTCGCGCCGCCTCGCGGGACCGCGGGCGATGCTCAGCCGGCTCGGGACCGGCGCGGGTTCTTACCCAGGTCTTGGGGTGGACGGAGGCTCCCCCGGCGCCGGACCAGCGTAGTCCTCGCCCACCTCGCACATCGCTGCGCGGGAGCTGTGGCCGAGGTAAACTGCGGGCGCGGCTTGATGACGTTTACGAAGGCGCAGTGGTCGTGACGTAAGGCGGGGCGGGGCTATGGCTGGTGACGTCACCGAGACGCCGTCGCGGCGGTGACGTGCGGGCCGGGCCGGCCAGGACAGGGGGCGGCGGCGGCGGCGGCGGCGGCGGCGGCGGCCTGGCCAGGGATGGCGATGTTCCGCAGCCTGGTGGCCTCGGCTCAACAGCGGCAGCCGCCAGCCGGGCCCGCGGGTGGCGACAGCGGCCTGGAGGCGCAGTACAGCTGTCCTATCTGCCTGGAAGTCTACCACCGGCCCGTGGCCATCGGCAGCTGCGGCCACACGTGAGCGCGCCCGCCGGGAGCCCGCGGGAGGTGGGGGGGTAATTGTCCAGGCTGGGGACCAGGCCTGCGGCCGCCCGGCGCAACCCACAGGCGGAGACGCAGGCGCCGGCCGTGCCCTCTGCGCTGCGCGTCCGTGGCCCAGCCCCTGCCCGCCGGCCGGGCGCGCAGTCCACCACCCTGGGCACGGGGACGACCTGCATCCTATCCTGGTCCCCCGCGCGCTAACGGCCGCGGCACGCCTGGGTGCTCAGAGGGCAGCAGACGCGACCGCTGCACCAAGCGAGGGGAGTTCGTTCTTGTCCAGACTGGGCGGGCAGTTGTAAATAAATGACTTGTGGCTTTTGCTGTCAACTCTCTCTCCACCCGATGTCTGCTCGTTTTAACTACAGAGGAAAGAGTTCCCTAAGTTAGGGGAGGGACTTGATTGCAGCCTGTGGGGTTTTGATTTGAAGGAGGACTTGGGTCACAGTGAACAATGAGCAGCCAGGTAGGCGGGCCCGCAAGCACCCTGCTGGGGTTTCCATCTGAGCTAGAGCCCCCAGCCTGCTCCTCCACGGTGTTTCAGAAACAGAAACTTGAGGATATGAGGATCCTCCAAAAGAAGATCTGTGCTCAAGCCTTCCAGAGCTCCAGCCTGGTAGGGAGGGAACCAAGTCAGAATGTCTGCCCCATGACCTCTAAGTTGCTGCACAATACAGGTCTTGGGGAGATTAGCTGGGCGGGACAGGACAGGACGACAGGACAGCAGGAAGGCTTCCCAGTAGTTGGCCACACTGCAAAGGAGATGGGGTTCTCACTTCAAGGATTTGGGGTTGGGTAGTGTGCACCCAGGCTGCTAGGAGGGAGGCCCTGGAACATTTTGCAAACAAAGCCAGCTGCCTTTGGAGGCTCCTGATGCAGAGGGAGCTGGAACTGCTGGGTGGGCGGGTGCCTGCTAGTCATCAGGGAGGTGGCAGGGCCTTCGTCTGCATCCAGAGCTGCCTTCACTTTCCCTGCCCCCAGTGTCAGGCGGCACAGGCGCCTGCTCACACTGGAGAGCACGGCTGACTTATAAGGTGCTGCTCCTACTCCGTTGCACTCTGTGGTGACACTTTGATGGACAGCCTCTGATCTTGTGAGCACACACTAGTGGGTGTCTCAAGGCATGTTCTGCATCTTCTAGTCCGTTACTGAGGGCTGTGAGGTTTGTCTGGAACAGTGGTCCCCTTTGCACCGACTCCTTCACCCTGACCCAGGCCCTCACAGTTTTGGTTTCCTAGCCTACAAAGAAGTCTTTTCTTAAAATGTGGCACGCATGACAGGATGCAGGTCTCCATGGGATGAAAATCCTCTTTTAGTTTTCTTTTTTGTTTGTTTGTTTGTTTTTGGCAGTACTGGAGTTTGCTAGGTAGGCGCTCTACCACTTGAGCCATACCCCAGCCCTGTAAAGCCTCTTTCCTGTAAGCTTGTCTCATTGCTGCTCCTACAAGAGCCATTTATATAGATTCTGCCTTGGAAAGATTTTTCTTCCTGCTTTCACTTCTGATTTCATTTCTCTGGTTGTTCTTGTCTGCCTCTCACTTCCTCCCTCTGTCCCTCTGTTGGGTGTAACTAAGGCATGTGAACAAAGAGTACAAAGTTTAAGGCCTCTTGTGTCACCTTTAAGAAGTTCACTGATGCTCTGAGTCTTCTCCCTCCGTGAGCCACCTAAGCAGAAACAGTTTCCTTCCTGAGGGCTGGTTTTCTTTTGCTGAAAGGAACCCTGCATGGGGTGGGTGTCACTGCTTCAGTACCCAGACAAGAGGAGGAAGTGAAGGGAGGGCTTCAGAGGTGCAGGAACAGGCAGAAGAAGGTCATCAGTAACACTGTGTGGAGGAGCTCGAGGCCCCACAGAAGCTGTAGTTTGTCACACTCAAGGACCAGCTCCAGATGTGAGCCACATCTGAATCCAGAAGCAGGTACAGGTGGGCCAGGATACATACAATTTTGAGACTTCCCAGAAAGCCTATGCAAGGCAAATTCCACTGGTCAGGACAGCTGCAGGTCTTGCTTGAGAGGACTGGCCTGCTAGCCTTGTGGATGTTCAAACATTGGCCTGTCCAGGAGCCTGGGGTAGGAGTGACACATCAGTAGTGCCCTGTGACCTGGAGTCTATCCTCAGCAGTTCTGAGTGCCTGGGGAAGAGCCGATCCCACACTCACTGCCATCAGCCAAGAAGCTGCTCAACACCAAGCCCTGTGCAGACTTCCTGTGGAAGAAGCAGGCACTGCTCACCCTTGCTGGCTTTTAGCAGGCAATGGTGGCAGTCACTGGAAACTAGGCCGAGAGCTGGGCCTCCCCACATGGATGCTTCATCCTGCCTCCTGCTCCTGAGGGACCAGGACTTGGGGACAGTCACCCTGCAGGCAAGCCAGGTTCCTTCTTGAACCTTCCCTGCATCCTGCAGGGGAGTAAAAGGTGCCCTTCCTTGAGACCTCCACCAGCATCTTGAGAGACCTGCTCTTCCCAGCTCGGCATGAGACCTTCTTCCTTTTGCCCAGTGAAGTGGCCAAGCTTTGCTTGTGTGGCCTTGCCCTGTGCAATTTTAATAGCTTTATTGAGATAGAACTCAGGGCCTCACAATTTGTTCATTTAAAGTATAGAATCCAGTGGTTTCTTGTGAGTTTACAGTTTTACAACCATCAGCACAATATAGCACATTCACCACTCCAAAAAGAAGCCCAATACCCATTCTCCTCCCCACAGCCCTCAGCAGCCACTAATCAGCTGTGTCTGTAGATTAGTCTTTGTATTCTACCAGATGTGGACTTTTGTGATTGGCTTCTTTTACTCAGCATCATGTATGCAAGGTGTGTCCCATGTGGTATGAGTGCATCACTCCTTTTCATGGCCAAATGATGTTTATGGGCCACATTTGTGTACCCACCCCTATGCAGGACACCTGGGCGGTGGCCACTTCTCGTACGGCAATGTGTATGAGTCTTTCTGAGGCTCCCCTGTGTGCATGATCTCGCCAGCATCTTCCTCTGGTGATTGGGTGCAGTAAGGGGCCTCCCCAGCTGTTAAGCTAATCAAATTCTGGGACCAGTGACAGAAATGAATGGTCCTGGAAATACTTGCTGGTGCTAAGGGGTAGATGTGAGTGCCTGGTGAGACCTCTCCTCAGTTACATGAGGCAAGTGATGGGGAGCCATCTCTTCACTGTCCAGGAAAAGCCTGTCAGGGACCTTTCCCATCTGGTGGGTCTCAGGATGAATCTTGCCTTCTTGGATGCAGTTTGACAGGACTAGCCAGGTAACACCTCAACCAGAAACCAGAGTGTAGGAAGGGGAGGAACCCGAGAGGCCCTGTGGTTCTGCCTGAAGCTCTAGTCCTTTCTTCCTCTTGCAGAAAGGGCCTTTTCTCAAGAAGGGGATGAGATCTTGTAGTGGCAAAGGAGCTCTGGCCCTTGGCTTTAGCTGAGTCATCTGTAAGTTCAGGAATATTCTCACATCCCCTCTGTCCAACAGGGCTCTTCACGAGTCCCACCCCGTGGCCATCCTGCGAAGCGCAGACAGGGAGAAGCAAAACTGCACACCCAGTTCCTACAGCCGTCTCGCAGTCTGCAAGGTTGTCATCATTCTGTTCATGGCTGAGTGCTGTCCTCCAGATGGGGGCTCCATTGCAGTGTCCCTTTGTTCCAGGTGCTCCCTGCATTAGTCTCGCCCTGTGGCACTTGTGAAGTTGCACAGAGGTTGCCTGAGATCACGCTCCTTTCCCTCTCTTTGCTCCCCACTGGTTTGGGGCTGTGGAGTTGGTGTAAACACCAGCTGGGGATGTGGGCAAGGCCTGGACTCTCACCAGCATTCAGGAGCACTCGAGCTGCACAACTCAGTCTCTAGGTGACAGTGCCAAGAGCTTGGACCTACGAGGAGCCTCAGTGCCCCAAGTGTGTGCCTAGTGCCTGAGGTGGCCTAAACACAGCCCCTCCTATCTCCAAGCCCTGGCTCAAATGGAGCAAGAGCCCCTCCTGCCTGAGAAGCTGTCTCACTGGCCAGTTGTGACAGTCTAACAAATCCAGTGCCCTGAGTCTGGTATCTCCTTTCCTGTAATGACTTTACTCCCTGGTGCCTGGACTGGATCGTCATCACCATGTAACTAGGCACCACCTGGTGTCCCTTTCAGTGACGCTCTTTCTAGGTGCAGGCAACAGGGCCCACAAGTGTTCCAGAGCCAAAGTCACAGATACAGTAGGGCCCTACTGCCAGGAAGGACACAGTCACCTTCTAGCCAGATGATGCCTGTCCAGCTGGGGGGCTGTGGGTATAGGAGTGTCTGCAGAGATGCCTATAGCAACTGGGGAGCTGCCTGTGTGCATGCTAGCATGTGGGAGCAGCCTCCACAAGGCCCTTGCTGCCCGTGGCCTCAGGCCCATGTTCCCTGCAGGTTCTGTGGGGAGTGCCTCCAGCCGTGTCTGCAGGTGCCATCCCCCCTGTGCCCGCTCTGCCGCCTACCCTTTGACCCCAAGAAAGTGGACAAGGCTGCCCATGTGGAGAAGCAGCTCTCGTCCTACAAGGCACCCTGCCGGGGCTGCAACAAAAAGGTATTGCCCAGTGTGGGCTTCCTAGGATGGGGATGCTGAGAGGGGTAGCTTCCTACAGAGCCAGAGTTGGGCTCCAAGGAGTCAGTGCTGTCTGAGCCATCTGCCTGGGCTCAGCCCATGTGCACTGTGGCTGATGCAGAAACCCCTCAGATGCAGGCTGGGCACTCAGGCAGGAAGCAAAGACAGCTCTTCAGCTCCAAGGTTAGAAGCAAGGTAGGGCATATCCAAACAGGAAGTTGGGGCCAGGCCGAGTCCAGGGCACCTCATGTGAGCACCCATCCCTACCTGAATGGTGTGGGGCACTGCTGTCTGGAATAGAGTATTCCAAGGTCCTACTGCTGGTGACAGGATCAGCAGCCCCATTTTCCATCCCACCCCATTCCCTACCGCCCTTCCTGGCACCCACACTGCTCACCTCAGGGTGGAAGGCCCCTTGCACATATCCTTGGTTTCTTCAGCTCCCAGTGGAACAAGCAGCTGGGAACATGTTTTGAATTTACATTTCAGACATTCCCAGGGTGTGTGTCTGTCTACTAGCCCAGTGTCCAAAAGGAACCTTGACATGACTCCAGAAGGACCTTCTTGGTTACCTGATGGTCCTGGGGCCCATTACTCTGGATGCTGGGTTGGCTGCTGAGATGGTGAGGCTGGAGTTCTCCCCGCTCTCATCACTCCTTGGCTGTGTGGTGTATGCTCCCCCAGCCACTCAGCATGTGCCAATGGCACCTTATGGTGTCCTCCTTGAAGGGAATTTGGCCCTGGTTCTTCCTCCTCCCGCTCACTCATTTAACTCACACAGGAGTTTCCCCAGGAGAGTCCTCTGCCCCTTCCCCACTCCCAGCCTCCAGGCCAGGTCTCTGCCGTTGGCTAAATTGCCTGTGGCAACTCAGAGTTAGCTGGTGTGGTGGAGCTGCTACACTGGGCCATGCTTTTTCACAGGGTAAGGGTTTGTTTTTTTCTTCCCGTCAACTGGAGTACAGCTCCTGTCTGCAGCTCTGGAGGCACCCCAGGTACAGGGACCACTGGCCCTGTGTCGAGTGGCTGGTGGCAATGCAGCCAGCTTGAGACCATGACCACCATTTGGCTCAGCAGTGAGGCTGTGGGAACCCTGAGTCTGTGGTGTCTTCAAGAGGTATCTTCCCACCTGGGCCTTCCAAAGCCTCTCACAGAAGCCCCAGTTACAGGTCACTGCTCGGGGACTTTGGCTGTCTTAATAGCACAAGGGACAATCCACTACCACAAGTGACTCTTTCTGGCTACTCCTTGTCATGAGTGCCTGAGGCCTCAGCCTGCTGGGCACTGCCTCGCCCCCTCCCTGTCTCCTAGGTGACCCTGGCGAAGATGAGAGTGCACATTTCCTCCTGCCTGAAGGTCCAGGAGCAGATGGCCAACTGCCCCAAGTTCGTCCCTGTGGTGCCCACATCCCAGCCCATCCCTAGGTGGGCAACCTGCTGGGGGAGGGGAGGGTGCCCAGGGGCCAGCTGTTTCTGCAGAAGTTCAGCCTCTTGGGGATGGGGACATCTCAAATGTAGAAGCCAAGATGAGGGCCCAGGCCAGGCAGGTGATACTTCCCAGGGTAGGACCACAAGTCCCCTCCTCTTGCAGGGCTGCAGCCCGCTAGTCCTGTTGTGTGGGTGGAGGAGTGGGCTGGGAGTTTCTGTCAGCTATTAGACATGGGGCGGGATTGGGGGGGCAGGCTGGTGTTCAGAGCTCCAGTTCTGCATCCTTCCGCCTGCCAACAGTGAAATTCCTGCAGCTGAGGCTGTTGGCACCTGTCTAGTGTCCACAGAAAGGAGGGTAGGCTGGGCCATGCCACATCGGAGAGAAGTGGTGGTGGCCATAGCCCTTGGTCCCCAACCTTACTCACTCTTCTCCCACCCCACCAGCAACATCCCCAACAGGTCCACCTTCGCCTGCCCCTACTGTGGCGCCCGCAATCTGGACCAGCAGGAACTGGTGAAGCACTGTGTGGAGAGCCACCGCAGCGACCCCAACCGTGTGGTGAGCACCCAGAGCACCATCTCTCTGGGGGGAAGACCTGGGAAGCCCCACCCCAGCCACCAGGGGCTTCCTGGACCTGCAGAGAAGGGTGGCAGAAGCCAAGGGAGCACAGTGGGTGAACACAGGTCACATTAATGTGGGCCTTGGGACGCAGAGGCCAAACTCTGGGAGCTGGGGCGACACTAGAAGCCCCTTCACACACTAACCCCCTGTTGCAGGTGTGCCCTATCTGCTCGGCCATGCCCTGGGGTGACCCCAGCTACAAAAGCGCCAACTTCTTGCAACACCTACTGCACCGGCACAAGTTCTCCTACGACACTTTTGTGGTACGTGTCCTGCTCTTCACCACCCCTTCTGCTTCCCTCCATTTTCCTCCTGCCCCGTCTCCCTCCCCTCTGTTCTCCCCTTCTAACCAGCTTTGGGGGCCCAAGTGTTCAGAGAAGGCTGGGACCAATGTTCCCTTTGCAAACCCCCTGCTGTAGAGGACTTGATCTGCCAACTCCAAGTGGCCACTGGAGGGCGCCAAGCTCCTGTGCTGATTGGGACTTGGGCCTGTGCCATTAGGTTGGCTAGGTCTTGTGGTGCCCACCTTAGGGACAGAGAGTCCTAGGGTGGGCCAGGGATCCTCCCAGGTGCCTCTGGAGAGGAGCTAGAAGGACTTCCTATTGCCCAGGTCCTCATTGCTGGAGGTGTTGCCACCCTCCTCTTGCCTCTCGCACAGAAACCCCAATTCTTACAATCTGAGGGAAAAAACAGCTCTCACTCCATGCATCTACGCCTAAGGCCTGGTCACAGCCTCTACAGGTCACTGGGCTCTTCACACAGGCCTGGTTGCCCTCAGGGAGCCCCTAAGAAAGAAAGTGGGAAAGGCAGAGGGGTCACCTGGGATAGATAGGGCTCTATCTTATTATTATCCCCAGTAAGGGTGATGTAGGGAACAGGGACAGGCAGATGTGACAGAGAAGCCCTGTTGGGGAGACTGGGAAGCGGTGGGCAGCTGCTGGGGACCAGGGGTTGTCTGGGCTCTCCAGGCCCATCTCCACTTCCTGTTTCCAGGACTACAGCATCGATGAAGAAGCCGCCTTCCAGGCCGCCCTGGCCCTGTCTCTCTCTGAGAACTGAAGGTGCAGCCAGCCACCTGCCCCTAGTCTGGGGTCAAGGATGCCCTCCTGCCTTGAGGGACAAAGCTGTTGCCCTCCTGTCCCGGCACCTGCACAGGAACACGCCTTGCTGGGACAGGTGGCATCTCACTCCTGCATGAGGAGAGCTGCCCAAGGCCCCAGGGCCTGGACAATGGCTGGCTGGCCTTTGCCATCAGTGGGGCTGCCTGTGTCCTGGCCGGCAGCGCAGGGTTATTGGTGCTTCGAGGTTGCAGTGCTAGCCTGTTGGGTTAGAGCAGTTGGCTGTCTCCTCCAAGCCATGATGTGGAGAAGGATGGGGGTTCCTGAGCTGTGCCTAGAGCCAGGGCAGTGGGAGGAGGATCCCTGGCCGAAGCCGCCAGCCTTCCCAGGCATCCGGCTATGCTTCCACCGTGTGCATTTGGTACTGGCTTTTGTGATACTTAGAAACCCTGGCGTTTTTCTATCTTATCCTGTGTGATAATCTTTTCACATTTTATAGAGCAAAGACAAAGCAGTTACTCTTCATATTGCAATATCTGTGTTTGACTAGGAAGAATAGTATTTTTATGGAACATTTACAAAGTTATATTTTTTAAAAAAACAATCAAAAATAAGCTGTTGTGTGGGGTCATGCAAAGAGGGAGAAGTGGTGGGGCACACCAGAGCCAGAATGAGCCAAGGTTTTGCCTGTGTGTGGGGATAGAGGTGGCGTCCCCAGGTCACACATGGTTTGTGGGGCTCTTGTCATTTGTTGGTTTCTCTTTTATGACAACCAGAAAGAAACCCAGGACCTCTGGCTGCGTGCTATGCTGCTCCTGGCAGTGCAGGAGCCCATCCTGATCCTGCCCAGGAGTTAACCATGTCCACCTTAGGCAGGGACTGCCCCCCAGTGGTGGCAGAGCTCTGGGGGCCAGGCCATAAAGCCCTGTCAGCACTCTTGTTCTGTTCATGGCATAAATTATTGCTGTCTTTTCAAAAAAGTTTAAATAAAACATCCCAAGCATCTGTGCGGCCCTGGCAGTGGGTTCTGTTCTTGGCTTTAGCAGCAAGGACTGCTGGGGCCTTGGCTGCCCCTCATCATCACTCTGCAGGTGACTCCTCCCAGGTGTCTGTGTCCCTGTGAGCCTGTGGCCCAGTTTTCTGTAGTCTCACACACAGCCATGGAGACATTTGAAACAGCCCCCAGTCTCCTGCCTCTCGCTGGCATGAGGCTGGGCTCCTAGAACTAGGTGTTAGGACAGTGCTTAGAGCTCTCTAGGGGCTACCTCCAAAGCCTCAGCTGTTTTGTTATCCTTCAAGTCACCAAGGGCTTCTAAAAGCCAAGGAATCACCTGGTGGCCGACACTGTAGGTGGGCTGCTGTTACCTGCCTCACTGTCCTTCCCTCTGTTCCCAATGTCCAGAGGCAGGTCTCTGTTCTGGACAGTATTTTAAGGGGAACACTGTCTCTTGAACTTGAAAGCATGGCATGGGCCAGGCTAGCTTAGATCCTTACAGGCTATAACTCAAGAAATGAAGTCGCCTGTAGATGTCTTCATGGAGGACCATCAGGGTCTTCCCATCTTTGAGTTTCCCATGGCTGGGAGGTCCTCACTACTAGTGCTGGGTTTTAGGGATCAGCTGAGCTGTGGCTAGCCTGCCCTTCTCATTGCCTTCTAAAAGGAGGCTAGAGATGGTATCCAGGCAGCCACCTTCTGGGCTGTCTGCATTTGGGCCCAGCTAGGTTAAGAACCTTCAGAACAGAGCTGGCTCGTGCTCACCCTCAGTTGCTGGCCAAGCCTGTCATCCCTTGGGCAGCCGCCCCCTGTCCAGTGGGAGCTGAGGGTGCTGCTCTCACAGGCCCAGGCCTGCCCACAACTGACCACAGGTGATGCAGGGAGCCATCATGGGGCATGATCCTCAGTGCCCAAAAGGCCTGGAGGCAGCTTCAGGGCCTGTCTCAGCAGGTCCTGACCTCAGCAGCACCCTGCACTTGCCGCCTACTGCCCAAGTTGCTCTGCAGCTCCACTGTGGAGGCTGCAACACCGGCCAAGCCACTAAGGCTTAAAACTGCAGGGCTTGGGAACTCATGGTGTCAGGAGATGGAGGAAGGAGCCGGGGCTCACTGGTGGCCTTGCAGCAATGATGTGTTCTGTCTCTGGCCATATAGGCAGGGAGTCTGGGAGCAGACCAAACATGGGTTCCTGGCAGGCTCCATGGCACCGTAGTGTTCAGCCTCATCTCTCGGGATCCACAGAGATGCTCCCACTGTTGATGGGCACAGAAAGCATGAGGCAGGAGGGAGCCTGTCCTGTGGCCCCATCTGGCTGACCACTATCCTGTGACCATGTGGCTCATGCTCCCCTGCATGAACAATGACCACAAACGTACTAGGTGCCAAGCAGGGCTTCAGCTGGAGGAGAGAAAAGAGCAGCCAGTGGGGGAGTGATTTCCACAAAGAGATTCATCAGCCCCAGGCCAGGCTCCTGAGAAAATGGTGGTTTGTGTGTCTGATCTCAGGAGCTGTAGGTGCTCCTCCTTCTCTGCAGGGCAAATGCAGCAGGGCGTGGATTGCAAGACTCCAGCCCTGTGAATTCAGAACTTCAAGTATTGGGGACCTGCCACCAAGAGCACCATGTAGCTGTCCCCCAGCTGTACCTCATCCATCAGGCACACCTGGCCACAGAAGGCTTGCCCTCCTGAAGGCACGTTTGGGTGATTCTGCTGTTCACTGAACACAGGAACACCTCATTTGGGGCTCATGAGGCTCTGGAGAAGTAGGCAGAAGCCGCTGCCCATTTCATGGATGAAGAGATTTGGAAAACACGCCCAAAGCCTGCTAAGGAGAAGTGGAGGGGTGACCACTCACACTACCTACTCAGCAGCACACGTGGAACCCCACAGCATCCACAGGGATCCATCCAGACCCTCAGCCCAATGCTGGGAGGGGTGGTCATCTTCATGGCCTGGCTCAGACAGCCTCTCTGGAAACCAGGCAAGAGACGGCTGGAAAAGTCTGTCCCTGAGTGCCACAGCCCTTCCTGCTGGGACCTCCCTCAGACGCCAGGGTTGCCAGGGTTGCAGGTGTCAAATACTAATGAGACCCAACAGATACATCTCTAACCACAAACTCTTGAGAATGAGTGGGACCCGTTTCTGTAGGGCAAGAGAAAATATCCCAGGTGGCCTCCCACTCAGACCTTGGCCAAAGGAAGTAGGAAGATGGGCACTGTCTCTGCCCCTAGCTGGGCTTTTCTCCAAGTGTAGGGCGGGAAGAAGATGGCTGGCAAGGCTGTCTGAAGACCTGTGTCTCCCTCCTAGAATCTACAATACTGAAGACCTCAGCATTCCTGGAGAGGGGAGGTGACATTTGTCTGTGTGTGTGTGTGTGTGTGTGTGTGTGTGTGTGGACAGGGCCATTAGGAAGGAGGAGGAGTGGTGCCAGCGTATTGTCTCCACAATGCTTAGCACACATGGTGTGTGTGTTCTGCCCAAGGACAAAGCTGCCATGTTTCTGCTGCTATGTTTCAGTGCAAGTTGGGGGAACCCCAGCCTGGCTGCTTCTCTGCCAGGACACCATCTATGTGAGATTCCCAGGCTGTTGGAGCAAAGTACCACAAAGTAGGGGGCAGAAAACTAGTCCCTGACAGTTCTGGAGGTCTTTCCGTGTGGCATCAAGGGCTTCAAGGGAGGATGGCTGACCTCCCACAATGGCTGGAGCACAGGCATTTTGGGCTCCCAGAGGCCTGGCTAATGTTCTCAACTGCCCCTGTCCCTTCACATCCTTTCTGTGTGTGTCCAAGTCCCCTTTTCATGAGGATGCCAGTCATTGGGCTAGAGCTTACCCTAAAGACCTCTTGATTAGATGACATCTGTGAAGTGCCTGTCTCTGGGTCACATGCACAGGGACAGGCTAGGACTGCAGCTTTTGAGGGTATGCAGTTCAACCCATGGCACTGTCAACTAGGAGTCCAAGCATCACAGGCCAGGATGTGGACAAGCTAGGACAGCTCCTCTCCAGCACATTGGGCAGAGGTTCCAGTGGGGTGGCACTTGGGGCACTTGTCACTGTTAGAAAGGGGCTGATGTTGTCCCCTCATTGCTGTCAGGGGCACTGTCTGCTCAGTGGCCTGCCCAAGGGCTTCTGGGGACCACTGGAGGCTCCACCTGCATTGCTAAGACCTGAGCTTGGCCTCCTGCTGAACAAGGTGGGTAACCAGCATGCAGGCTGGCAGAGCAGGTCTGGCATGTTGAGGCCACAGGTCTGGGCACCTGTAAGTGAAGCCCTGGGGTCTGAGTTGGCTGAGACAGCCTCTCTCCCACCACCATGAGGGTCAGGCTGAACCTTGCTGGCCTTTGTCCTCCTGGTGGCCGAACTACAGAAGACAGGACAGTGAGCAAGTGAACCATGTGACTGCATAGTGGAGTACCTCAGGCTCTCCAACAACCTGTGGGACTAGGTGTCAGCTCAGAGGATGGACTGCAGCTTGGGAGTTATGCTCTGGACCCCAGAGACCCTCCCTTCCAGGCTCACTCCCTCCATGTCGTGCTCACTCACTCCTGCAACTCCACACAGGCACACACGGACACACACGTGCACGGACGTGTGCGTGTACAGATACCGGGGCACACGGCACCTCCCAGCCTGGCCCTCACCTCAGTTTCCTGTTCCTCTGCCCACCTCAGGACGCCTGAAGAAGCCCGAAGTCTGCTTCATTCGTTCTAGGAGCTGCGCGAAGGAACCAGGGGTGTGGGCAGCTATGGGTGGCAGTGAGTTCCCTTTATTAAGTGTGACCAAGCGCACACTGGCCAATATCAGGACCCAGCACACTGGCTGCCCCAAGTCCAGTGTGTCCAACCACACCCACCTTTCCTCTACACCACTCCACATGGACACGGGGGGCTGCTGTGGGCCATGCTGCCCCCAGAACCAGCCTCTGTCTTGAGCCCCAGCTTGCCCAGGGGCCTTGTCCCTTCACCCAAGTGCTTCTACACAAGAGCACAGGTGGGTCTCATGCCCTCAGGTGCTCAGGTCACAGGGCGGGCGCTCCAGACAAGCCAGGCTATTTTTTTATCAGGGGGGCAGCTGATTCTTCTCCATCCAGTTCAATGAGCATTGATGAGTCCCCACTGTGGACCTGGCCACAGCCAGGTGTGGTGAACTTACCAAGGCTGAGTTCTACCTGGTCCATCTTTCAGGGGCCATCTAGAGGGGTGTGGGGGCTTCCAAGGTTTGGGTCTTCAAACCCTGTGAGAAAAACATGACATCAATGCAGATCATGCATTGTATGCAGTATAACCAAGCACTGCTGTTTACTCATAAAACATTCCCCGGATGTACAAAAATATACAAATAAAAGGGATGAAAAAAATCAACAGCCGTAGACTCATAGCAATCTCCCTCCTGTAATCCAACCTGCAGCTCCTGGGGTACACACCCCACTGTTGTGAAACTTCCCTTTGGGTGTCTATTGGAGGCCATTGGATACAGTGGAAGGACCTGCCACAGAAGGCCATCACCCTGAGGTCCCAGATGTCAAGGGAGGAAGGCCAGGGCCTTGGTCACCTGCAGGGCCTGCTCCAGTTTATGGAGGGGTATCTCCAGACTTGAATGAGGGCTTCCCACTACGAGGGCCTTGGAGTTTTGACCTCTGGAACAAAGTGGCCAGTATTAGGACATAAGGATTCCAAATGGATAGAGACAGCCACCCTCGCTGCCTGGGGCCGCACATGTGGGGACAGGGCAGAGTCTGAGGTTTTCCTCTGTGAGCCCTGCAGGTCCAGCCCGGACACAGCCATGAGTCATGGCTGGAGAATGACACTACACAGCCATGGGGAGGGCAATTCTGAGAATTTGTAGGGACCTCAAACTTCCCTTTGGAGTGATGCAATGTGGCTGTAGGGACCACTGATCCCACCACAAAGGTGGGCCCAGGGCACTCAGGCTCTTAGAGGCTTCTTGGTTGAGGCCAGCAGCTAGAGCTGCCCCTCCTAGCATAAGCATCTCGTAGGGGGAGGTGGGGAGGGATTAGGAGATAAGCTTACTGGGCTAGACCAGTGGTCATGCAATAGGTAGGTGGGTGAGGTAGGTGACAGTATGGGTGGAGGACTGGCTCAGGCATCTGCAGGCCTTATCTGTGTCTGGGAGGGGGAAGAAGCACAAAAGGCTACAAATAGAAACCTCATAGGGCCAAGGAACAGGTGAATAGGCAACATGTCCTCTGAGAGTCACATCAGCAGTGCCACATCAGGAGAGATGTGTACCTCTTCCCCGGTGCCACCTGTGCTTCCACGCTCCCTCACCCAGCAACAGATTGGGCAGACACACAGCTACATCTAACAGGCTGGAAGTGTGTTAGTGGGTCTGGTCCCAATTCCACTACTCTCAGAGCCTTGGTTTTCTCTTCTGCATGGCAGGCTGATACTCCAGCCTCTCGTGACCTGCACCTGGCAGGAACACAGATGCTGGTGTGACTCAGCTTCTTCCCTCTCCCCATCCCTTGAAGACTAACCTCCACCTTCCCCACCCCAGCCCAGACGCCAAAGAGCACCAGGCTATGGGATAAAAAGCAATGTCCGGGTGACAGCCCTACCACACAGCCATGGGCATGTCCAGTGGATGTCGGGAGGTCACCCAATCAGAGACTGCCCCACTGGACCTCCCAAAACAGCCAGACAGGACTGCAACCTGCTCTTTACGGCCCTGAGGAAGGGGAACAGCTTGTCCAGGTCATAAAGGCAGGTATTTGCACACAATGCACCCTCTTCTCATAACCACAGGAAATTCCAGAAGTCCAGCCTCTGTCCTTTGTCCCAACCAAATGAGTCTTCTGGAGGCATGGGACAAACTCCTAAAACATTGTCCTCAGGGCCACTCTCCCCTAGGCCGCCAGTTCCTGGCCTATTCCAGGAACGCTGACTCTGTCTGAGTCACCACTGTGGCTGCTCAGGTGGGTCGGCTTTGGACTTCAGGGCGCACCCGTCCTGCCGTCGTGGGTTTGCAGAGGAAGTGGGGAGCGATGACCGTGGGCAGGTGTAACCCAGGCAGCCAGGGTTCTCCGAGGACCCGACTTCGCAGTCTGGACCACAGCCCGGCCGACTTTCCACCCAACCCTGAACTCTGTCCTTTCCTCCGCGGGGAGTGGATGGCCGGCCCCGCGGGGTCGGTGCGTGACCGAGGGGCTCCAGCCAAGTCCCGTGGGGCGGACACCGGCGGCCACGCGCCCCGGGCCCCGCCCGCGCACCTGTCCTGGGCGTGGCCCCGCGACCCCGCCCCGCCGAGCCCGGCGCTGATTGGCCGAGGCGGCGCGCTATGCTAATGAGCCTGACCCTTTCCCGCACCTGCCGGCCGCTCTGCCCGCGGGCGCCGCGCGGACGCTGCAGTCCGGACCCCGCTTGCCTCCCCGAGGCCCGGCCGCCGCCCGGAGTGGACCGACCATGCCGCGTTCCTTCCTGGTGAAAACGCACCCCAGCCACAGGGTCCCCAACTACGGGCAGCTGGAGACACAGAGAGGTAGGGGCTGCCCGGTTCCCCGAGCCCCTGCCCGGGACTCAGCCCTGCTGCACGGGAGGGAGAGCCGGGAGGTCCCTGGGAGCGGGGCGGGGGGCGCACCTGTCCCAGGTGAGAGAGGAAGCTAGGCACAGCTGGGGCCAGCGTGTCCTTCCTGCAGGCAGGGAGTTGCCCAGGGCGCCTTCTCCACTGCAGGGAACTCTTTTCTAAACTTGGAGTTTTTCTGGGCCCCCAAGTCTCCTAGGAGCTCTCCCCTGTGGACCCCGCCCACCCCACCTCTACAGCCCCAGCTAAAGGGACCCTGGAGTCATCCGCCCTGTGTAGGAGGTCTGGGAGGCTCCAGACTCAGGAAGCTCGCCAGGTGTTGTGTCCACCCACTCAGAGAAAGCCCCATTGGACCCCGAAGTCGCAGTCGTGAGACATGCCCAAAGGAGGTGGGGAGGGTGTGGGCGGACCTTCTGGGGTTGTGTGTGTGTGGCCGGGGGGTCCCCCAGAGCATCCTGGAGGGACCCAAAGCTTGCTCTGTTGCAAAGGCCCTGCTTGTCTTTGGTCCAGCTGGGCCTCCAACATCCTCTTTGACCCTCCTGTGGCCTCCTTCGCCCGACCTCCCCTCACTCCAGAAGCTCTCATGCTTGCCTGGTGCATTCTGGGCTAGGAGGCTGCAGTCCTCCACACAAAGGTTGAGGTGTCACATTCCCGCTCTCTGCCAGGCTCAGGGGCCTGGGGTCTGTAGCACCAGGGAACCAGAGAAAAGGATCCCCCCTCTCAGAGGAGCGCCTGCTGCAGGAAGTAGGGTGGGGTCGGTTAGGGTCAGAGCTGCCTCTGACTACAGGAATAGTCTTGGGAGCTAGACCCACTGGGGGACTGTTTGGCACCTGGAGGGGGAGAATGTTGGAGGCCAGGGCCCCCAGCCAGGCCCAGAACCCCAGGGGTGGGCAGTCCCACCCCCACAGCCCAGCCTGCCAGGAGGGGTCGCTGCCCAGGACCCTGCTCTTCAGGGAGCATTTGCACTTAATGTACTGAGTCACCACCAGCAATTGTAGCATAAACTAGATCAGAAGCTGGCAGTGCAGAACACACAGTAAGTGTAACTTTTGTTCCAGTTATATACGTCAATACAGATGTAGACGTAAAGAAAAATAATATCTACATGGCTCATAGTTTTGGGAGTTTTCTTGTTTTGTTTTTTTGAGACAGGGTCTTCCTGTGTAGCCCAGGCTAGCCTCAAACTCTCATTCCTCCCCAGTGCTGGGATTATAGCTGTGCACAACCACACCTGGCTAGTTTTGTTTTATTTTGTGATGCTAGGGATGAATCCAGGGCCTATACACCTCCAGCCATAGTTTAAAACCATTATTTAGAATCTGCTTATACAGTGTGCCCCCCCTCGATACTTGAATGTAACAATCTGGTGCTTCAAGACCCAGTGGGGATGCTTGGGACAACCTCTCCTCCCTTGTCACTCCCTCCACTTCTTCCTGGCCTTCTGAGGGTCTTATGGCCTTGGTGACTATCTTACTGCCAGAGTGTCACCCTAGAATAGACCTGAAGTGCTGAGGTTTGGAGCCCCCACTCTGTCCTTTTAAATAAGTGCCTCTTTAGGATGTCAGGGAAGCCCTGAGTCAAAGGGCACAGAAAAGCCTCCTGTCCCAGGAGCCTGGGCTGCAGAATGAATAAAAAAGGAATGTGGGCAAGATATTTAAAACACTGGCAGAAATCACAGTCCCTAACACCTTGCATGGGGCCCCTTCCTACTTCTGCCTCAGGGGTGGCCACAGGCCCACAGACAGGACTTGGCCCTGAGGATGCCTTGGGCCAGGGAGGGGTCCAGTCTCAAAGGTGGAGACTGAGGGAAAGTGGCTTTCTCCTGCTGAGAGGTCTTAATGAGAGCTTCCGGGCAGGGCAATGGGGGCCCCCTGCTGACTCTCCAGAACTCCCCTGTGCTGTCATTTACCTGTCCCTGCCCTCCCCCTCTTTTCTGGAGGACAGTTAACACGATGTGCTGATTTTACAGTTAGGAAAATTAGGGTGGAAGAGGTATGGCAGGGGATACCTGGGTGTCTCCTGTTTCTCCACACCCTCCTCACACTTTTTTCTTACATTCTATCCATGCTAGTGGGTGTGAAGTGGTGTCTCACCCGGGTTTTGAGTTGCTTTTTCCTGCTGGCTGGGGTTTGAACTCAGGGCTTTGCACTTGCAAAGCAGGCGTTTCTACCGCTTGAGCCACACCTCCAGTCCATTTTGCTCTGGTTATTTTGGAGATGGGATCTCAAGAACTAATTGCCCAGGCTGGCCTCCAACCTCCATTCTCCCAATCTCAGCTCCCAGGTTGCTGGATTACAGGCATGAGCCACTGGTGCCCGGCATTTGACCGTTTTTGTGTTTGTGTTTTTATTGTTGAGTTACAAATATTCTTTATATATTCTGGATACTATTTCCTGATCAAATGTCTAATATTTTCTCCCATTCGGTGGGTTGTCCTTTTTCTTCCCAAAACTTCAATGCTGAGGTAGAAATGGGGCCAGAGATTTATCTCAACACATATGGAAAAAGAAATGGCTTCAGTCAGGGCTATTTGGCAATTGGGGCTTTAGGAAATCCAGAAATTGCTTCTTATCTGCAAACTAATCTCTGTATTTGGTGCTAGTGGTGTTATCTGGATCAAACACATGAGGTGCTGGCCCCAAATACAAGAGCCACTGCCCGAGGACAAGCCAAGCCAGGACCAGGTCTGATGATGCCACACGCCTGGCTGAGCGTGTTCACGCGTGTTAAAGGGGCAGCAAGCGTGTGCTGTCCAGTGGCCGGGGAGACTGCTGACACAGCACATCACGACACTGGCAAGGGGCCTCCATGGGGTGACCAGAAGGTTCCTGGAGGCTAATTACTGTGGGGGTGGGAGAGGCTGGTTTTACGCGAGGCGCCTGGTGTTCTGACCTCATGCTGCTGTGTGGGAGCCTGGGAGCTGGTCCTGGCTGCTGCCCACAGCTCAGAGGTGGAATGGGGGCTCCTCAGATAGCCTGCCCAGCCCAGGGCAAGGAGGGAGGGTGCCTCTACCCTGTGAGGACTGTTTTCTGGGGAGTTGGGTTTTTATGAGACAGTGTCTCACTATGTAGCCCAGACCGGCCTCAAACTTCTGATCCTCCTTCCTCAGCTCCCCCAGGGTTGGGATTATAGGTGTATGCCACCATGCCTGCATACAAGGACTGGGTGTTTGGGTTTGTGTGTTTGTGTGTTTTCTTTTCACAGTACTGGGGTTTGAACTCAGGGCATCTTGCTTGCTAGGCAGGCATCCTACCACTTAAGCCACTCCTCCAGTATATAAGGACTGCTTTATGCTACTGGCCACTACAGGTCTGGTGGGTTTTTTTGTTTTGTTTTGTTTTGTTTTGCAGTCCTGGGGATTGAACCCAGGGTCTCACCACTGAACTACATCCCTAGCCCTCTCATCTTCACGTTTAGTGAAGAGTGGATTTGAGACTCACTCTCTAGACCCCAGGGCTTTGTTCTAGCTCCCGTGTCCTTGACTGCTATGGTAACTCCCTGTGTGGCAGCTCGGTCTCTTACGAGATGGGTGAATGCTGGACCTTTGCAGCTGCTCCTTCATCTGGCTAGTAAGATGGGCCTCAGCGAGATATACGAGTGGGGCTTGAAAACTCAGTCATCGGGGCCTCAGTCCTCACCGTTGTTCTCTCTCCCCTCTGCCTTCCAGAAGCCAATGGTGCCTGCTCTGAATGTGGGGGACTGGTGGTACCCCTCCACCCTCCAGACAAGGAGGCCCCTTCCTCACCTGGTGATCCTCCCCAGCCCTGTGACCGCACCTCCACCATCGCACACATCTCCCTGCCCTTCCTGCCACACCATGAGGAAGCTCTGGGGTCCTCTGGGCCAGACCCTCTGCAAATGAGCTGGGCAAGCCCTCGGGCCGGCTGCACCCCTAGTGTGCCCCTCAAAGACAGCCTGAACCACTTCAACCTGCCCCCGCTGCTATTGCTGCCCACACGGTGGCCCCCAATCCTTGGTCCAGATGGGGACGGGGCTCCAGACAGACATCTCGGGGCTGAGGGCATACCTCAAGCCCCAGGGGGCTTCAAGTGCACCCACTGCCACAAGCCCTACCACACGCTGGCCGGCCTGGCCAGGCACCAGCAGCTGCATTGCCACCTGCCAGCCGGGCGTGCCTTCACCTGCAGGTACTGTGACAAAGCGTATGCCAGCCTGGGTGCCCTCAAGATGCATATCCGCACCCACACGCTGCCCTGCGTCTGCAAGGTCTGTGGCAAGGCCTTCTCCAGGCCCTGGCTGCTCCAGGGTCACATCCGCACCCACACAGGTAGGAAGCACGGCGATGACGAGGGCATGGGGTCAGAAGAGGAGGGGTTGATTTCACCAGCACCGGGGCACTGCTTGTGGACAGCCTCCACCTCCCAGAAGCACCTGCACCTGCCTCCTGCAGCTGCCAACACACAACCCCAAAGACGGGGATCCAACAGCAGACGTGTCCTCTCAGGGTCCCAAGGCCACAGCCTAAAATCAGGGTGTGCCAGGACTGAGCTCTCCATGAAGGCTGGAGAAGAGCCCCCTTCCTGCCTCACTCTGTTCCTGCAGCTGCCCCAGTCCTTGGCTTGTGGCTGCATCCCTCCTATCTCTGTCTCCGTCTCTGTCTTCACAGGACCTTCTCCCCTGTGTGTGCCTGTGTTAAGTCTACTCTGCTGTAAGGACACCAGTATAAGTCATATGGGATTAGAACTCAACCTAATGGCCTCAATTATATTTGCAAAGACCCTGTTCCAAGTGAGGCCATAGGGCAGGAGTCAGGAAGTGGGTGTCTCTTGGGGGAGACACACTTCAACCATAAGACAAGGCAAAGCACAGATGTGCAGGACCTCAGTGGGGCTTCTCTGGTTACGTACCACAGCTCCAGGACCAGGGCAGCAGGGGAGGGATGAGAAAGCCTGGCCACTGTGGGGTCCCCAGCAGGTCACATGGCCTAGAGGAGAGTGGAGACTCTGGATTTGGGGAAATGGAGTCAACTTGTCTGGCCTCCAGTCAGCAGGGATGTGGGTGCCCTGGCCCCCTTGGGGACTCCCAGCTGGTTTCTCAGGACTCCATAGGGCTGTAGGACCCAACAGATGGTTTTCAGTGACCTTTCCCCTTGCACTTGGTAGGGTCATCCTGGGAGCCAAGGTCCCAACAGAAGGACTTTGTCCCAATCCCTGGTCACCCTGATTAGAGATAATGCCTCTGTCAAGAGCCACAGCTCTATGGGAGCCTAGTACTTCCCATATCCTGCTGGTCACTGGCCAGGAACAGCTGCCAGAGGTTCCCAGGTTTCTCATGGCCAGTCTTGAGTGACCAGGGCCCCGGGAAGGACTGGCAGAGATCATAAGAGACTTGCCTGGGAAGGTCCTCCCATGCTGTGGTCTGGCCTGGTGTGGCATTTCTGAGGCTCTGACTTTGGCACTGGGGGCGTGATGAGCATCTGGAGGGGAGGAGGGGCACCTTTGCCCTGTCTGGTGTTGTCCTGGCCGTGGTCACATGGCCTCCTGTCTTTCTCCTGCAGGTGAGAAGCCGTATGCCTGTCCTCACTGCAGCAGGGCCTTCGCTGACCGCTCCAACCTGCGGGCCCACCTGCAGACCCATTCTGGCACCAAGAAATACCAGTGCAAAAGCTGCTCCAAGACCTTCTCACGCATGTCCCTCTTGGTGCGCCATGAGGAAGCCAGCTGCTGCCCTGGCCCCTGAGAGGTGTGGTGGGGTAGAGGGGCCTCACACTGAGAGCCAAAGGGTAGCAATCCTCTTGGTGGTCCTGTGTCACCTGAGGCACCCAGAGGAACCAGGGAACCTAGAGGACAGGGGCCCAGCCACTGCTGCCTGTGTCCAACCAGAACCCAGAAGTCTAGTGGGGCCATTAGGGGACCTCCCACACTATGGATCCCCACTCAAAGGAGACGTTACTGAAATGAGAACCACAGGTCCATTTTCAACGTGGTCTGGTTCTGGTCTCATTCTTCCAAGAGGTTACTGGGAGATGCTCACGTGTGCTGGGCAAACTCTGCCCATGCACCGGCAAACAGGCTGCCCGGGTCTCTCGGCACACAGCTGGAAGTGAGCAGTTTCTCGTTGTGGGAGCACATGGCGCTGTCTGACCTTGGGAGGCGTAGCTACTTCTCGGCCAGCCCCACCTGCCTTTGGCTTAGGGTCTGGGGACAGGCTGTCTCCTGCTCCACATGTGCACACACACACCCTCCCACCGCCCCCAGACAACCCAAAAGATGGAGCAGGGCTGGGAGAACAGTATGGCGGTTTGGGACAAAGCCAGGCCTGCCTAAGCTGTGCCTCCAGAACTGGTCCTGCTCAGAGCAGGGGGCTGGCCTCGGTGTCTTGCTGACTTCTCTCAGGGCAAATAGCTGTGGGGTAATAAACAAGCTCCTCACTGCTGTCTGCTGTGTTCTTTGAAATCTTGAGTCTCGCTCAATCCCCTGGGTCTACAGAGGAGATGGACCCTGAGGAATTATCTAGCGTCAGGACTGTGGATGATTTGGGTCCTTCTGGGCACAGAGCAGGTGGGAGACCGTGTGAGAGCAAGTGTTACGGGGGCCCTGCGAGCGGAAGAATGGAGATCCAAAATGGCTGCCCCAACAAACAGTGTGGAGGAACCAGGAGACAATGTGACCGGTTCCCGGGGGCACTGGATGGGACCAGTGCTGGCACTGGCGGTGGGGAGTGGGGGGTATGTTTGGCTGCATGCACCTGGTGGCATTTCTGGAGTAGAGGAGAGAGTCCAGGGTGCTGAGAGCCCTCCCAGTGGGGTTGCCCAACCCTAGAGGTGACATCTGGGACAAAGCAAGGAGGCCCATTGAGTCCACCAGAGGCAGTCCCAGATACCGTCACAAAGAAGGATGGTGGGCGGGCAGTTCTGGGTGAGGGGATATTGGGGGAGGGGCACCTGCTCCTCTCTGGGGTGGACCAGCCGGCTGTCAGCGGCTCCACTTCTGGCCCAGGCCAGGGCTATCTTTGTCCCCATCCTAGAATGGAGCCACATGGCCAGTGGCAGAGGCTCCCTTCTTGTTCCCTGAGCCTCCTGCACTCAGAAAAGCTTGCTGGGACCACACCCAGTGCCCTGTCCTACAGCCCCTCAGCTGCTCCTGTTCACACGTGGCAGGCAGTGTCCAACCTGGCTGACACCAGCAGGCCCTGAAAGGCTGTGGGTAGCTGGTTTGATGATGACCCTCTGAGAGACCTTGGAGACATTCTAGAGGTTGGGCTCTCTGGATCAAGGGTGACCTTGAATGAATAGACCATCTGTGAGAGCTGCGACACCAGCCTCCAGACCCGTGCCAGCTGAGACAGGGCACACTCTGAGAAAGCCACCCTGGAGTTCTCAGTCCCCACTACTGCCTCCCTGCAGGTTGCCCCTCCAGGGAGGTGTGGAAGAGGCAGGAGATGTGCCCACCAAGCCTGGCCACCCACTACACAAATGCATCCTCTCATGTTTCTGGCCAGAAAGGTCACTTAAAGGTGACTTTAAGACCGAGATCTGGATCCAGGCTCCCTCAGCCTCAAGAGTGGCTGGCCTTCCTTGCTCTCCATGGCTGTAGAAGCAAAACCCTGGCCTCTACCTTGGTCTCCACGTGGTCCCTATCTGTCTCTCCTTTTATAAGGATGCCAGTCATTGGATTTAGGACCCACCCTACTGTAGTATGACCTCATCATAATTAATCAGATTTTCAAAGACCCTCTTTCCAAGGTCACATTCTGAGGTTAGTACCTCAACCTATGAATCTGGATGCACAGGTATGCCAACCTGGTCAGCCCACGCGGTCAAGGACTGTGCTTTGCCAAAATTACCCTGCTGGGTCCTTAAATTTAGAATAAAGAGCTTAATGCTCTTCTTTCCTGTCTTCAAAGGATCTCTGGGAGAGATGGTTTTACCAGAAACATCTTCAAAGGTACGGTGAGCACCCCCACCCTCTCTGGGCTAAGGCAGGGACGGGCTGGGCCCTGGAGGGGAGTGAGAGCAGGAACTGGGTTCCAAAATGCCTGGCCTCCTCTGCCAAGCAGGTCAAGCTTCCCCAGGCACAGGGGTCCCTTGAAGCCCAGTGCAGGCATGAGTTCCAACCAACATGAGTTTGGGCATCACCCAGGAGAGCGCTTTTAAAATAGCGATCAGATGCCTAAAGGAAACTATATTGTAGATTGTGTCCTATTTCTGGGCCCCCATATCTAAATGAGGCAATTGCACCTGTTGGGTATGAAGGAAGAGAATTTCACAAGCCGAAAATAAAGCCGAATGTTTTCCCTTGGTACCAGCCCATGGAAAATGCTCTGATATTTATATCTGGGCTGGAGAGGGCAGGGGTAGTAGAGGGTGGGTTGGCAGAGTGGAGGGAGCTGCAGGCACCTGCCAGGGAACTGATAGGGAGTGAATGCAGAAGACTTTCCACTCAGCAGGTCAGGATGAGGTGGCCAGCCAGCCTCGCCTGGGGACACCTGTGCCCATCCAGTGGGCCTGGCACTCCTTATTTTGCTTGGTCACGAGCAAACTAACCTGCAATGCTCTCTTTAAGCCTGGGTTCCTGGATCCCCATCCCTGCCACTGTGCGCTGAAAAACAAAATACTCAGACACCAATTTGATGCTGAGCGACCCGCAGCGCTGTCTCCAGGTACTGTCGATCACTGGAACTTAACATCTGTTTGCTGTTCAGCAGGGCAGAAAGGCAAGCTCAGTAACAAAGGGCTTTTCAGAAGTAAATAAAGCAAAGTTTCTTGAGAAAATTTCTATGGCAGGCCACAGGGGAATAAGAGTTGAGCACCCGTAATGTGCAACGGAACAAGGAATGTGGCTGACATTTCAGCTTTTCCTGTGAACCCTTCCCTGAGGCCTACACGTCCTCTAAGCGTATCCCAAAAAGTCCCCACGCCTGTAGAATGAGAGTTAGGAAGTGAGTATGTCCTGGTGAAGTTGGCTTGACCAGCTCTCTCTGGAGGCTGCTGTTTAGGGTCCCTCACCCCCCTCCTTTTTCCTACCAAGTCTTTGTCACAGTCCCATCTTCCTCTTGAGCAAACTTCCCTCCAAGATGGGGGCAGGAGTGGAGCAGGGACCAGGGGCTCCAGAACCTGAGGGAGTTGGAAGCAGGTGTCTCAGTCACAGCCCAGTTGTGTCTGGCAACAGGAGAGGCCAAAGAGCTCAGTGAGATTCTGGATGCAAGAACTATATAACATAGCGTGCTCTGTGAGGAGGGGACTGCCTTCTCCCAGGGAAGTCCTGACCACTCTCCCAGGAGGGCGCCCACAGGCCAGGGCACTAGGAAAGAGGACACATGGGGCCTGCGTGCCTCCACTGTGCTCTGAGTCATGAGTGACAGCAAAGAGCACACCCAGCCTCCTGGAAACAGGTGTGAGAGGGACAGCAGGCCTCTGGGTGACCCGGTCCTTCTCCCTGTTCCCTGTTGAAAGAAACCTCTCCTGAAAGCCAAAGAGGTGCGAAGGTTATGGCCCTTCATTTCCAGAAGCCCAGGGTTCTAAAAATATCATTTTGGCCCAGAATATTCTAGGGGGGTTCTCTAGATATTTGAAAATAGCCCACTTGTTACTATCTATACTCAAAGAGCCCACTGTTGGCTGCGCCTGCATGGCTAACTTTAGCCTCCCTGGCACAGCCAGATGGAACACAAGTCTCCAGGCTGCTCCGCCTCTGGACGCAGAACGTCCCCCAGAGAGCAGCTTGGCTGCTGGATGGGACAGCTCCAGGAGAGGCCACCCTGGCTACTGCGCCTTCCTCTCCCAACCTAGAGCCATTCTGTTGAGGCTGAGTTCATCACAGCAGTTCTCCTCTGTAGCAAAGGAACCATGCTAGGTTCTATGTCAGAAGTCAAGAGATACCAAGTGAATGCGGCAGGAAAAGGGGCCTTCGGACACCTAGAAACACTGTGATACAACCTTGGAGACCCTCTGCAGGCCACTGAGTGCTGACCCAGCTCACAGAGCTGTCTGGGTTCCTGCAAATGCTGCAAGGCCAACAGAGCCCGGGTCAGGCAGCAAGAGTTTCAGACCCAACACCCAGCTCAGAGGGACAGGAGTTTCCCATGTGGCCAGGACCTCACTATCCTACCGCATATCAGCCGGGGCTGCCCATCCCAGCCCTCCCCAGGGATTCCCACACTCCTGGGTTTCTCCCCCTTATCTTCTGACTTTTGTTCTCTGTAAGGATAAGGGCCCGTGACTCAACCCCGGGGAAGGCAGAGACACTTCAGTTTTGCTTATGTGACTCCAGACACCACAGCCCCTGCTTCCTCCCCACTGGCAGCAGGCATGGGGCGCCCAAGATGCTTCCTTATGGGCATAGAGAAGGGGACCACCAAGTCACAGGTCTTTCCTCGTGTGCGCGTTTACCTTTTAAAACTCAATTGCTTGGAATCAGCTAAATCATGAGGCTCAGGCAGACAGCCTGATTAACCTCTGCTGCCCTTCCAAGCACTGAGCACGGCTCTGAGGCCCCATGCTCGTGATCGTGACCACAGGGTGCTGTTGGTTGTCCCCCCTCCTCCACAGAAAAAGCAACCATGCCAGAAGTTCTCACAGGTGGTCTGTAGACCAAGGTCCTCTCCAACTGCTCTGCTATGGAAACTTGGTGCCTGCCGTGGGGTACAGAGGGTGGGCTAGGTGGGGCCTCATAGTGCCCATGAGGCCTAGAATATCCCCACCCCCTGCCATGCTGCCCACAGAACTCGTGGTTACTGGGGAGAATTGACAAATGCACCCTGGCCATGCATGGACATAGCACAGCAATGTGGGATGATGTGGGACTGAGCCCTTGGCAGGACAAAGTGGGTCTGTCCTTCAAGGAGAGCCATGGACACAACTTGTCCCCAATGATAAAGCTTATACTTTGCAGTGAAAATGGCTGGGGTGTGCCTCAGTGGTAGAGCACTTGTCCAAACTCAGAAAGAAGTAAAGGAGGAAGGAAAGAAGGAAAGGACGGGGGTGGGGGGGAGGGAGGGAGGAAGGAAAGAAAGGAGGGAGGGAGGGAGGGAGGAAGAAGGAAGGAAGGAAGGAAGAAAAGGTCATGATTTCTATCAGAGTCATAGGCTTTCAAGGACAGACAAGAGGAGGTGGCAGTTGAGGGCAACTCTGAAGATTTGCCAAGACACAGGAAGGGCAGATGTCCTTTTTCTTATCTCTCCCAGTTGGAGTAGGTTGGGCCCACCATAATGACCTTAGTTTACCTTGATCACTTTTTAAGGTGCTATCTCCAGATGCAGCCACATGCCATAGTCCTGCAGGTGGGGCTTCAGTACACACATTTTTTGGAGTGAGGAGGAGACACACTTTAGCCTGTCACAAAGTCCCTTCAGAACCACTCTGCTGTGTAGGGTTTAGACATAACCCTTTTTGTGATCCAACGGTGCAGGTGCCACAGCCAAAACGCACACTGCTGCCTTGCTTTGGCTTCTCCCAAGAGGCTAGAATTGTTGTAACCTTCTGAGGTCAGAGGTCTCCAAGCCCCAAGGTCAGGAGTCCCAGGCCCT